TTTGCCCTAGCACTGTCAGAAGTTCCAACTTTTCAACAGAAGCCCAAGCTCCTACACATTTTTAAAAATTGTGAGATGATGTGTATCTCCCTCTATATATATAGATATATATAATAAATATTTATATACACACACACATAATTTACCATTTTAATGCATAAAATTCAGAGGCATAATATGCAACCATCACCACTATCTATTTCCAGGACTTTTTAATATCCCAAGTTGGAATTTTGGTTAATTAAACAATAACTTAATAACTTCCCATTCTCCCCTCTCCCTACACCCTTTAAATCTCTATTCTTCTATTTTGTTTCTATGAATTTTGACTAAGGTACCTCACTAAGTGGAATCCTATATTTATCCTTCTGTATTTGGCTTATTTCACATCACACAGTTTTCAAGTTTCATTCATATTATAGTATAGGTCAGAAATTACATTCTTTTTCAAGGTTGAACAATATTCCCTTGTATGAATATATCACATTTGATTATTCAATCATCTATTAATGAGCATTTTGGTTGTTTCGATCTTTTTACTATTGTGAAAAATGCTGCTATGAACATGGGTATGCAAATATCTATTCAAAATTGCTTGATCATCTGGTAATTCTACTAGATGATCATTTTTGAGGAATCACCATACTATTTTCCATAATGGTTGTACCATTTTACTATCCAAACAATAGTACAGAAGGTTCCCATTTCCCCACATCCTCACCAGACTTATTTTGGTTTTTGATATAGTTATCCTAATCATTGTGAGGTGGTATGTCACTTTAATTTTGATCTGTATTTCCTTAATGATTAGTGATGGTGAACTAATGTGCTTATTGGCTAATGTATATCATCTCTGGAGAAATGTCTATTCAAGACCTTTGCTTATTTCTTAATTGGAATTTTGTGGTTTTTAAGTTGCAGGAATCTATGTATATTCAGGATAATAGCATTTTATCAGATATAAGGTTTGCAAATATATTCTTCTGATGGCCTTTTTTTTTTAATTCTTGATAATGTCTTTTGAGACACAAAACCTTTTCATTTTTGTGAAGTCATATTTATCTATTTTTTCCATTTCTTGCCTGTGCTTTTGGTATTATATTTAAGGCATTGATGCCAAAGCCAACATCCTATTTTCCTCTAAGTTTTACTTATGTTTAAATTTCGATACATTTTAAATTAATTGTAGCATAAGATGTTCAGTAAAATATACTTGCATCTTTTGTGCATGTGACTAGTTTTCCTAGCATCAGATTTTGAAAAGACTGTGACTGTGTGTTCCCCACAGGTCTTGACACCCATGTTGAAAACAAGGTAATCATATATGCAAGGGTTTATTTCTGGGCTCTTTATTCTATTGCAATGTTGGTCTGTAGGTCTGTCTTATGCTTGTACCACACATTTCCTATACTTTGAGTTATAATTTTTTATCAATGAATGAAACATTCTTTACAATCTGACCTCAATGACTTTCTTTTTTGGCTATTTCCCTCAACTAAATCCCAAGCTGAAGTCATCCTATATTACAGTTGCTCAAAAAACCACAAATATATTTTAAATACTCTCTTTCATCTATTTAGTATGCCTATTCTGTCTTATATATTCTTATGAGGCTTTCAAGATTCAACTCGAAGTTTATCCCTGCTGTGATTATTAAATGCAGATTTATTCAGTCCCATCTGTATTCTAATGCAATTTAAAAATTTTTATTAAAGCACTGAAAATACTACACTGCAAATTATTTGCTTTCACATCTGATACTCCCATAAACTGAGAATTCTTAGAGAACTAAACTGCATCTTACTAATTTTTGCATCCCCAGCATCTTAAGTAGTGCTGACATATGGGAGATACTGCTGGGATGATTTCTAAATGATTTTCCACATACCCAAAAATCACCTTCAAACTAAGTTCAAATTGTGTATGTACAACAGTCTCCCAAATTCCTCAGCTGGAAATAATCTCTCCATCCTCTTGACATTCTATACAGTATTACAATTAATTGTACTCATGCCATCTCTACCTAAATTTCAAATTGAGGGCAGAATGAATATCAGTTCATGGCAGTCGCCCGGCCCCTACATGCTGGTTCTGGAAGGGCCGCGGTGCCGGGCGGCCGCGAAAATAAGGCTTCCAGAGGCCCCTTGACAGGCCGATGCCCCCTTCCCTTCCGCAGGTTTCGACGGACCAATATTTACATTAAGGCTAAGAAAATCTTATAATTTTACAAAAACTTTCTCATTTCTTGATCTCTTACTAAATATGTAAGGTAGGAAAGATTCTCCATATTCTTAATCCAAAATTCTCTTAATGACATTTATTTTCCTGAGACTATAGCACAAGAACAATTTTTTTTTTAATCAAGAGCAATTTTGGGTCTCCCCTGGTAGCGCAGCGGATGAGCACTGGGCTGCAAAGCTGCCGCAGCCTCTGCAGCACCGGTTTGATCCCAGGCCACCTGTGAGGGTCCCACAAGGCGCACAGACCTCTCCAGATGCGTTCCCTGCTCCCCTCAGCAGTGTACTTCACTCCTTCTGCCTGTTCTGTTCCCTGCTCTGGCTCTGGTGAGTTCTCTCACCCTACTGCTTCTGACTGTACCCAGTGCTTGTATAAATAAATAAATAAATATATATATATATATATAAATCTTTTTTTTTTTTTTAAAAGCAATTTTTAACTCTGTGATTTGAACAGTTCTCTCTTGTTCTGTAAATAACATTCTTACTTTTATGCTAACCCAATTTTATGTAGCTCCCAATAACCATAATCAAAGAGTTTCTACTATTTGGACATCCCAAATTACAATGAGAAGGTAACCAGCAGTTCCACCATGATAATGTACTTTCATTTTTCATACTTCATGAACTTCACACTAGACTCCTAATCACAGAAACCTGAAAAATTTGTTAGGTAACAAAAGATTAAGACAAATGGTTTTCCATTAATGACAAACAGCTAATAAAAATTTTAAGCTTGGTGCTTATATAGTGGTAAGTTTTCCAATATAAAATGCTAAATGATTTCATTTAACATTTAAAATATTAAATGATTAAATATGTAACTTTATGCAATTTACAGTATTTTCCTAATCTGTAAAAGTGCATGGTTTTGACTTACCCCTCCCAAATCTTTAATATCCTTTTGCAGTTTTTCAGATATGGTGACAGAAGGTAAGTCAATGTAAAATACTTTCCCCAAAAGTGGCTTATATTTGGATTTTTCTGGCTTGCTATCAGTTTTCACAGATTTCAAAGATGGTCTATTTTTTTCATTTTTGACTTGGATTCCACCTGTTGTAAAAAAAAAGTTTAAAATTAGGCCATGTTATGTTCAGACATTTTTACTATTTTAAAAATATCCCTTTATACAAAAGATCACATAAAACTTTTATAATTCCACCAGTCTAAGTCATCAGCATTTAAATGTATATCTTCATAGTAACACTAAGGCAAAAAAAAACCCTCTAAATTTAAACAGGCATTACATAGTAAAGTAATTATGTTCACAGTTGGTAGTTCGATTAGCAGGAAATATTCTTGTAATTATTCATGTCTTATACAAGGCAGGGAACAGAAAACCTTTTTAAAAGATTTTCCTCCTTAAGGTGTAAACTCCAAGGAGGTTTTACTCAACAACGAGCTATTGAGCCATTTGTTGAACGTTAAAAACTGGTAATTAAAATGTTAAATATATTCGCAATGCAAGAAACCTGTTAACCCAGAAAGACCCAGTCCTCAGATTGCTCGTTTAGTTTCAGTTTATCCATGTATTTAGAAGTAACTAGACCATTTGTTCAACAGTCAACATTCATTTTATTATATCCCCTGAAAACAGAGCTGAGATAGCTCTGCTGTCGAAATTAACCTTTAGAACACATCGGTTTACATAATTTAGAGGTTACTACATACGCACTCTGGGTACATACACATCTCATACTAAAAAGAAAAACTCAGGCTGGCAAGCTTTCCTAAATAAAAGGTGGCTGCAAACGGAAGCTTGCTTTTGTATCTGTCTAGCAATTTGAAAATACTAATTCATCTAGTCGCAATACAGCTACTTCACCTCAGTTTTGAGCGAAGGGAAAGAAAAGTCAAGTGTAAGACCAAAGTCCACCCACAATCACCCAATCTGATCACGAAGCGAGCGGCCACTAGCACAGAAGCTTTTTAAACAGGGCCTGGGCGGAGCAGCAGCGCCCGTGAAAGCTCCGGACATTGTCTCCCAGTTTTCCAACGAACACACCGCCGGAATCGAGGGGAGTGAACGCCACGGGGAAAGCGAGGGGCCGGGCCGGGATCCGTTCTCTTTCTGAGGTACCAGCAATGGAGCTTCCTTCGGGCCACAGAGAAGGATGCACAAACCAGAAAAGCTGCAGGGAGCGGGCGGAAGAACTCGAAAAATCAATGGGGGCTGGGGGGCTGGGAGGCTGGGGGATGGGGGGGTGGGGGAATGGGGGACCCGTGAGGCGAGGGAAGGATTAAAAGGACCGCAGGCGGAGGAGGGGCCTCGTACCCTGGAAATGTCCTTTGCTGTGGATCCTCATGGCTCCGGAGTTCATGGCAGTCGCCCGGCCCCTACATGCTGGTTCTGGAAGGGCCGCCGCGCCGGGCGGCCGCGAAAATAAGGCTTCCAGAGGCCCCTTGACAGGCCGATGCCCCCTTCCCTTCCGCAGGTTTCGACGCCGAGGCAGCAGCGAGCCCGCGTCCGCAGGCCGGGTTTCCGGGGCCGGCTCCCGAGCGCCGAGGAGGAAGAGCCACGGCACAAACGAGTGGGCTGCGGCGGTTGAAGATTTGAAAACGCGTCACGCAGCCGCGGCGCCGATACGCGCGCCCCGCCCCGCGCGCCGAGCCCCGCGCGCCGAGCCCCGCCTCGCGCTCGCCCACACGTGCCCCCCTCCTCGCGCCGCGCGCCCGCGGCCCGTCCCGCCCGCCTCCGCGCGCTGTGCGTCCCTCCCCGCACGCCCCGCCCGCGCACGCCCGCGCCCCGCCCCCAGGGGCCGCGTCTCCGCCCCCGGCCCTCCCCGTTTCCTTGCCCTTTCGGCCTCAGGCAGGGTCCCCCGCCCTCTGCTCCGCGTCCCCGCGCTGTCCTGGTCATTCGGTGTGGCTTTTTGTTGACCAAACGTAGTGGATGCAGTTTGCGCCAGAGGCCGGTCCAGCCGGCCACCAGGGTCATTCCCGCCTTCCAGGGTTGCCCGGACCGGCTGCCCACCAGCCGCCTCCTACTCCAGGTACCTTATTCCCCCCCTCCCCCACCCCCACCCCACCCCGGTGGACAGTCCGGGAGGCTCGAGGTGCGGCGCCTGCGGCCGGGCTTGGACTCGGCGTCCGGCTGTGCGAGGCAGCGAGAGGAGGCGGCAGCTCCGGGCTCCGCGCGCGGCGAGTCGCGCATCGTGGTTTTCTCTTTCCCCGCCGACCCCGCAGCCTGGAGACGGGCTGCCGAGGGACTTCCCGGGCTGAAAGGTGCGGGTGGGTGTTGGCGCCTGGGTCCCGCCCAGCAGCCCGGCCTAGCGAGCGTTCAGGTCGCCTAGTGCCCTTCAGTACTTGGCTGTGAGCTGTTCTGTTGACCTCTTGTGCACAGAGCTGTTTTCGTTTCATTTTGTTTACGTTTATTTCAACGATGTTAAAGGGTGGAATTTGAAATCTCAAGACTAGGGTTTTGAGTCTAATCGGTCTCTGACAGCTTCTGAAAATGGTTAAATTACCTAATACCGTTATCTCTTTTTTTTTCATCTGTAAAATGGGAATATTAATGGGATTATGGTAAGGATTAAATTTTAGGTGTATTTTAAGCTAATTTTGTAAATGGGAAAATGCTTCACAAAGTTGTTTTTTGCTGCTTTTCTACTGTAAACTTTTGAACTACATAAAGAAAGTAGATGGGCAAGATATGAGCTACATAAGAATGATGGCCTGATGTGGAAGTGGAAATAAAAAAAAAAAATTATTTCTCTTGCAAAAAAATTGTCCATGTAGAAAATGACAGGAAGGGATGAATGCGTCTTTGAAATATTTAGGGAATATGGAAAACAATTTAAACGTGTTTCTACTGAGAACCAAAAAAGGAAGTCCTTTTTATGTTCTAGTAACAAAGAGTTATTTACCTTTCATATTTATTATGAGTAAAGATGGGTAACATAGTTGCAACCTATCCTGGTAAACTCACTCTTGACTGCACTGTAGGTGGTAATGCCAAGTTATGAAAAAGGAAGAAGTCAGTTTTAATAAACAGTGTTAGTAATCAGGGCTATTGGTAAAACAATAAATTTTATATTAAAGCGCATCTGCGCATCTTAGGGCCTCACTGGTGGCTCTAGGGGTTAAGCACCGCACTATGAAGCAATCCTCAGCCTCTGCAGCAGGAGATTCGATCCCCAGCCGGCCAGGAGCAACCCATTTGGCGAGGCAGACCTTTCCTGTCTCACTGCTGCTCCCCTCAGCAGTGTATTTCAATCAGTCTCCTGTTATGTACCCCACTCTGTCTCTGGTGAATCCTCTCACCCTCTGCATCTCTAGCCTGTATCCCAGCTCTTGTTTGCATAAATAAATAAATATTAAAAAAAAAATAAAGTACATCTTAAAGTGCCTTAGGTGAAAGGTGTATATTCAAGAAGAAATTAATGAGGTCAGGGTTTTTTGGTGAGAAGTTTGGTTAAAGAGTTCTATTAAGCAAAGTTGGAGAACATTGAACAGAATCATGGTCGAAATAAATGAACATTTAACTGTGTATCAGGAGAAAAGAATTTCATTCAGTACTGGCTCTATTCCTAAGTGGTTTTATGACCTTGGGCAAATGTTAACCTTCCTATGCTACAATTTCCTTATCTGTAAATGAAGATAATTTAATCTTCATTTTTTTGTAATTATCTTTTCGTAATTATCAAGTGAGACCTAATATGTTTTTTGGATTACCTCATATATATGCAAATACAAAATTTAATTATGGAATCAATGGATTTACTCATTCTTCTGAAATACCTATGTCTTTCTTATTTTCTTTCTTTGACCTAAGCCTCTCTATTTGGGGCTGTATTTGTTGCTTTTTCCTGTTCCTAGTAAACCTACTTAGATAGAGCCTTTATCTCCTGCTTATTTTGGAATCTTCAATGGTACTCCTGTTTAATCCATGTGTGTTTAATCCTTTGATATGTTATCTTCTCAAATGTATTCTGTTGCTATTTCTGTTGTTTAGTTTTCACATTTTGGAGTCTCACTACCCAGTTCAAATTTGTTGGAGAGCCTAAGGTTTTAAGGAGGTTAGGTTCTTAGTTTTGCAGGATAAGCATACAAAGGGATAGCTAGTTCATGGGCATAGCCCTGAAATGTATTATCTCAGGTGAGGATGGGCTGGGCAACTAGGGAGAATTCAGCATATCTACTGATAGTTCTTAAAGAAACTAGGTGAAGGGTGAAAATGGAGAATAAGGAAGATAGTAGGATTCAAAATTGGAGAGTTGATTCCTCTGAGACAACAATATAGAGACTGCTGTGGCAGGTCTAGGGGCTGTTAAGGATAATGAACTGATTTAAAGGTTATATCTTATATTCTGAACTATATTGTAAATTTAGGGTTGTTCTGAACACATATTTTGCCATGACAATAAACAAGTCTAACTACCTAGCTCATTTCTTTCCTTCTATTTTTTTTTAATTTTTTTAAAGATTTATTTATTTATACAAGAAGTGGGGTACAGGCCAGAAGTGCGGGAGGGTGCGAGGATTCACCAGACACAGAGCGGGTTGCAGAACAGGCAGATGGACCGAAAACACTGCTGAGGGGAGCAGCAGGTGAGACAGAAGTCTGCTGTGCCATGTGGGTATCTCCCTGGCAGGCCAGGAATTGAAACCACGCTGCAGAGTCTGCTTCATAGCGCTGTGCTCAATCTGCTACTGTACATCTCTCATGATGTAAATTTTTAAAATTTCCAATCTTCTTAGTTACCCAAATACAATAAAGTGTACCCATTTTAAGCATTCAAGATTGATGACTGCTAACAAATTTATCCATGTAACTGCTACCTCAGTAAAAATATAGAACATTTTGTCATCTCAGGTCATTTCATTCCTCTTACCAATCTCTTCCCACCAGAGGAAAACACTCTTCTGATTTCCATTGTCATGAATAATTTTGCCTATATTGTGGCTTCATGTAAGTGGAATTATATATATAACTTATATATAAATGTTTTAGGTCTGAGTTATTTTGCCTAACAGTATTTTTTATTCAACTATGTTGCATATCAGAAGTTCATTTTTATTGCTGAGTAATATTCTATTATATAAATATACCACATTTTATCCTGTTTACCTGTTGATGGATATCTGGATTGTTTCTGGGTTTCGGCTATTGTGACTAATACTGTTAGGTCTTTCTCTGGAGATACATTTTTATCTGTTGGAACTGCTGGATCATATGTCACTGAATGTTTAATGTTCTGAAAAACTTTTGAAGTTTTTATTTTTTAACTCCCCCATACCTTGTTTCCCAGAGTGCAAAGAAAACTCTCAAAAATGTGAAGAGGCTATCTGTGGTATGGGAGAGAGTATTTAGAAACCATTTATCTAATAATGAATTACTATCCAAATATATAAAGAATTTCTATAACTCAATAGCAAAGAAGCAAATAAACTAATTTAAAAATGGGTATAAGTCTTTACACAGACATTTTCCCAAAGAAAATGTGCAAATAGTTAACAGGAATATGAATAGATGATGAGTATCACTAATCATCCAACAAATGAAATAAAAATCATCACCTCATTCCTGTTATGATGGTCAATAATTAAAAGTAAAATGGAAAATAATTTGTTAGCAACTATGTGGAGAAATTGGAACCCTGTGCATTGTTGGTAGGAATATAAAATGGTGCAGCTGCCATGGAAAACAGTATAGAGATTCCTCAAAAAATTTTTAAATAGAGCTACCATGTCCTCTAGCAATCCCTTTTCCCAATATCTGCCCAAAAGAATTGAAATCAAGACATTGAAGAGATATATGTGCATTCCTGTGTTCATTGCAGCATTGTGCACAATTAGCAAAGTCGAAACAATCTTACTATCCATTGACAGATAAGTGGATAATAAAAATGCAATATATACATACACTAGACTATCATATAACCTTGTAAGAGAAGGAAATCCTGTCATATGCATAATATGGATTGAAAATCTTATGCTAGGTTAAATAAGCCAGTTATAAAGAATTGCTGCATGATTCCATTTCTATGAAGTATCTAAAATAATCTTACAAGGAGAAAATTTAATAGTGGTTTCCAGTGGCTGAGGAGAGGAAAATAGGAAGTTGCTATTTAATGGGTAAGAATTCAGTTGCATAATATGGAAAAGTTCTGGAGATCTGTAAAATGACATGCATATAGTTAACAGTATTGTTCCTTACACAAACTTTTTTAAAGTATTTTTTTTGTTCTATTTCTTTTACTACAAAACATGTTTAAGACCTTTGATTTATAAATTACTCTGAAGAAAGTAGAAGGACAAATTATAGATTGGGAGAAGATACAATTTATATAACTTAAAAATAATTTGTACCAAATGTAAAAGTTTCCTCAAACAAATAAGAAAAATATAAACACCTTACCAGAAAAATAGGCAAAAGATGTAAATGGATAGATTACAGAAGAAGCAGTACATACTGCTAATAAAAATGTCAAGAGATGTTCAACAGTGTTGACCATGGTAATGTAAATCAAGACTAAAATAAGAGAGCATTTGACCCATATTTGCTTGGAAAAATAGAAATTCTGATGATTCTAGGCATATATTGAACTACCACCTATTGATTTGGTATTGCTCTATCCATTTTACTAAAGTTTCTCCATTTACCAGTTGGTTGAATTGATGTCATTCAGTAACTTGAACTTACCTCAGGAAGGACTCATCAATTCTTCATGTTTGAAAATATGCCATTACACTTGGTAACCACCTTGGTGAGTTATAGCCAGTCTGTACCCAATTTAAGTAAAATAATAATTTAAGTAAAATACAGAATAAAGGAATAGTATGGAAAAGAGTAATTTCATAGGAAGTTGAGGGAGAAAGCTATTCTTGAAGCATATTACTTAAAGAGATGTCCTAAAGTTATAGTAGAACCAAAAAGGTATTAGTCATCTCTTCTACTAATTCATGTGCTCCCAGAATAGGGGACAGTATCTTCCAAATGAAATAGTGGAAAGAGGCAGAGAAAGAAGATATGTAGGTTGGTAGGACTACAGGAATTTAAAACATTGGTGAATACATTGAATTCCACTAGGGTCATTATTTCCCAACAAACATCATCTACTCCCAAATTTGTAGTTATGTTGTCCATTTTTTCCACATTATTCTTTAGATAATTGAACAGAAGACTCACTTTTCATTGTACTCAGATCACTCACTTTTCAAGACTCAGAGTTTTGACCTTAGGAGATTGTTGATATAACTCTTTTTTCTAAAATACTTTATAGTATATATGTTAAGGAATAATTAAAAATGCAGTAACTCTAATTCGTGGTTCTAAATAGTACAACTCAATTTTTTGCTTTTCGCCCTTATGTTAAAACTAATTGTTAGAGACATATCAGTTTTTCTGGCATTAATTTCAGATGAATATATTCAAGTTGCCAACTTTGCTGGAATAGGTGGCAAAATAAAGCCTTCTGTATGCCTTTTTCTCACCTGGAGGAGGAATAACCTGTGTTCTAGCATGTGTGTGTGCACACATGTATGTTTGTGTGTTTATATGTATGTATGTTTTGTCTTTTCACCTGAACTGTGTTCATATAAATGAATTTTAGAAGTGTGTTCCTAGAGTTGAAGAGTCTATGTAAATATTAGTTACTTAAAGTTTTTTATTATACAGTTTCCCATATACAGAAAAATACAGAACATTTAAATATTTTATATTTGCTAAGTATCTGTATATCTCAGTGTAAGTATATGGTGTACTTGTCACCTGGATTTGACAAATTTTAAATAGTATATATTTATATTTTTTTTAAGTATTATAAACTATAGTTAATAACATTTTAGCCCATAATACTTCAATATCACTCTCTTACAAAAAGACACATACATAATTACACTACCATTTTCTCACCAAACAAAATAAATATTTAAAAAATATTTTCTTATCTAGTGCATCTTCAGATTTCTTTAGTTACCCTCAAACTTTGTTTTTCATTTACTTGAAGTAGGATGGATTTGGTTGTTGACTCTTACAAGATTCCTTTATCCTAGAACAGTTCTCCTTTCTTTGCCTCCTTTTTCCTCACTTTACTGAGACTTGTTGAAGAAACCACTAGTCCTGTATAGACTATAGTATTTCATTTTGTCCTTTTTTGTGACCTCCTTTATCACGTTTCTGTAGTCTCTGAACTTTCTACACATTGGAAATTAGATCTCTAAAGGATTGTTTAGATTCAGATTAAATGTTATTTTCCCCAACAAATACTTCAGGGTTGTACTAGATACTTAATTTTGTGTCACAAAATCTAGTTGTTCAATTCTTGTTGATTATCAACTTGTTTAGGGTCTACATTTGTTAGTTTTCAAAGCAAAATGTACTTAATGGAATAATATGAATTTTGTGAAATGCTTTCATAATTTTAATGATACCATTTGCAGAATGCTTGTTATATTTCTGAAAGCACTTAATGGAAACTATTCAATAAATGTTGATTTGTGTTTTAAAGATTTTTTTGCACTTCCTTTAGGCTATTATCCCTTTCCCGTGAGAAAAGACAATTACTTTCATTTTTTCACTATAGATTTTCAGTTACTGATGTTACAAACAACAAAATACTGGAACACAGAGTTGAGGAAAAGACTTAAACCAGGTAGGTAAATAGTAAGTCTAAAGAAACTACGAAGTAGTAAAACTACCATTCTTTTTAAATTAAGATTGTTATTAGACTAAATTGACAGTTGGAATATGAATTGTAAAGTAGTATCAAAGTTGTTTTCTCAACTTGATGATTATCCTGTTGTTACAGGGCAAAGACTGAAAATTCTCCCTGAGTCAGAATTCCTCTTATTGGTTCTGGGTCCATGAACTCTCTGCCACAACTATAAACAAAAAGAGTTTTGGTGTCTCAAAACAGAAAAACAATTTCTTTTTAACATAATAGAGGAACAACTATAACGGAACAGATGATGAAATGAAGCTGCATGCAGCTGGCCGGCTGAAGCTGTGGCCTGGAGCAAGGTGATAAGCCTGCCACTGCAGAAGCTGGCAGGTTGCAACAGAGACAGCTCTCAGGAAAGAACCAGGCAGAGGCAAGGCCCAGAGCCCAGATGCCCTTCATTTTATAAGGGCTCCCAAAAAATGCCAACCTCTTCCCCTGCCTAGAAGCCCTCTAGCTCCCTGAGTTCACTTGAACATCAAAGAGAGTTCAGTCCATGGTGCTTCACTGGCACAGGGTTTGGACTTTAGTCCGGAGTTGGGTTGTTGCTCCCCACATCTTGTGGGGAAAGTTGGAGTGGATTGCACCTAACCTTGGTAGCAAAGGCCATGTGGGCCTCCCAGGGCCTGAGCCTGGGAGTTGAGGACTACTCCAACACTGAGATGATTAAGTAAGAGAATATAATGAGGTTTTTAGGATGAGGGGTATTATCTATACAACCTACTTGGTGTCGAAAAAATAAATATGCAATGTGAGAGCTTGGTAAAATTGTAGATTAATAGGAACTCCTATAATGCCAATAAAGTTCAAAGTGGCCCAGCCTTTCTGAAAAACGTTTGACTGTTTATATAGAGTTTTTGTTTAGCCCAGCAATCTTTTTTGTCTTATAGTAAATACAGAATATCTATGAAAAGAGGGCCTCCCCTGGTGGTGCAGGTGGTTGAGTGCAGCGCTGTGAAGCTGTCCGCAGCCTCTGCAGTGCCGGTTCAAGACCGCATGGCTTGGCAGATCTCTCCTGTTGCACCCGCTGCTCCCCTCAGCAGTGTATTTCAACTGTCTGCCTGTTCTGTTCCCTGCTCTGTCTCTGGTGAATCCTCTCACCCTCCCACACATCTGGCCTGTACCCCAGTTCTTGTATAAATAAATAAATAAATCTTAAAAAAAGAATATCTATGAAAAGATATACATGTAAGGATATTTACATGAGAATTATGGAAGGAGTAAATGAAATACTAGAAGTGACCTAAATATCTAACAATATGAGACTGATTAAATATAATCAAAAACTCTGTAAGCACTAAAAATAATATAAATCTATATTGATAAAATGTCTATAGTATGTTTTTAAGTGTCATAGTTGGCTACTGAACAATATGAAATAGTATTAACCTATTTTGTTTTGTGTGTGTATGTGTGGATATGATGGTTTTATTTCTTTAGATACTTTTATATACATACACATACATATAAGTGTTGTTGGGTGTACATAGACATTTGGAAAGATGGCTCCTATATGTTTCTATTAGTTTCTTCTCAATGGTAAGTATATACCTGATTTTTATAACATTTTTATTAGCAGACTTTCAGGAAAGTATATATTGCTTTTTTTCATTAAATTTTTCTAAGATAATGCTTCTTAGGAAGATGTGTTTTGATTCTATTTTATATTTGAAGTTTTTGTTTTGCAATTAAAATAATGCTATATTTGCTTACAACTCTGTACTAGCATTGAGAAACTGAGTAGTTTTTAGAATATGAACCTTGTAGATCATCTGTTCTCATTCTGTTATATGGCCAGAGTCTGTTTTATTAACTCTGTACTACCATTTTTAGAAAATCAGAGAACATGTTCTATTACTGACAGTTGTGTAGTACCCTTGTGTACAAAACTTACATACTTATTTTTCAGAGCATCAGCAACACATATGCTTTAATACTGATTATCATTACTTTTGTAGTTTATTTAATTTTTAACAACTACTTTTGAGGGTATTTTCCATTAAACTTTTGTTACATTTTGCTTTTTGTTAACAGATTTTTCTTCAGTTAGTTAAAGTATGGATCCTGAAGCGGAGGTACCATATATTACCAAAGTGACACCTCTCCAACAAATGCTTGCCTCTTGTAGTGGAGCTATATTGACATCACTAATGGGTAAAAAAAAAAAAAAAAATGTATTGATGTAGACTATGTAACCAAATAAATCTGTTATGAATTCCATTTGAGTTTTACTATCTGTGAAATGATGATATTATTATTAAACATCCTTCATGAATAATATCTTCCCATCAATATGATAACATGAAAAGAATTCTGGGCAGATACTGTGATGGTCACAAAAGGAATAATATAAGCAGTAAGTAAACATGATTTATGTCTGGTTTACTCAATTTTGCATTACCTATAGATTTTGCTTGATAAAGGTAAATTTAACAGATTAGAAGACAAGATTATTTGATTATTGATTACTTATAATACAGAGTTGTTCTTAAATATTTAAAAAGAATTCTGGAATAATACTTTAGTTTTAATGCTAGTGGATTTTATTTGTAGAAATAATACAAAAGACAGTTTAGTACTTGTGAGAAAAGTAATTAGGTTCTTTTCTCATTGGTCCTCTTTTAGTAAAATTCAAGGGCAAAAAATGAAATGTTATATTCAAAACTATCTTATAGTTGGTAATTTTACCCATTATGTAATCATGAGGCAACATATGATTCCATGTGTTTTGTGTTGTATGGGCAAATGTTTATATACAGATGTATTACTAGTTAATTGATATTTTTCTTCATAGTGACACCTCTGGATGTTATTAAAATTCGACTCCAAGCCCAAAACAATCCATTCCACAAAGGTATGTTTACTGGTCATCCTGAAAATGTCAGATTTTTAAATGTTACGGCGTTCATTTTGTTTGAATAATATTCTTTTTCTTAAATAAAAAATTGAACCTCCTTATCCTCAAGCAAAAAAATTTTTCATCGCATGATGAAGTCTAGGCAGAAAATAAATATATATAAGTATGTAACATTTTTATGAACTTTATACTGTGTCAGAATACAATTTTATATTTGGACATACATCTTCTAAGTATAGTATTATGCTCATAAGAGGCCTTACAATCTAGCTTCCTCCTTAGTCTAAGAAACGTGCCCATCCCAGAATGTTGATCCAACAGTCCTTCAACTGTCGCTTGAATACAGTAATGGGATTTATTATTTGATCAGACAGCTTAGTTACTTGCTGCATAGTGTAGTTTATGTGGAATTTGAGGAGAGTAGTTTGTTTTTATTAGATAGGCAAAAATAACACTGCCATGTTTAATCTTTTATAAAGATAATGACATTTCAAAGCATGTTTAAAAAGCAGAAACCAGTTGTTTATACTGTGAAGATGTTGACTTAATAGACATGAATGCCACTCTGTTGAAGACATAGCTGTGAGATGAAATGAATAGGCATATTTCAGATGAATGCAAGAATAGATGAAATGTAGAAAGAGACTAAGAAGTAAGGTGGTTTCTACACATTTAAGAAAACCTTAAAAGCAGACTGAGGTATTGTGAAAGTCACAGAATTATATATGACATAACAGAGAAGACAATTTTGGCAAGAAGAGTCCAATAATAGGAAGGAGTTGGTACTAGATAGTTGTGATAAATTATGTGGGATTTGAAAGTGTCTAAACTAAGCAATATAACTAGAGAAACTGATAAAGCATAGCATTATTTACACTGACTTAGAATAAGTTTCTTTATATTCTATTTTTAATGAAATATAATCAACATAAAATGCTTTTGTTTTAGGTAGATAACAATGATTCACTATATGTATGTATTGCAAAATGATCACCGCAATAAGTTAACATAATCACCTTGCATAATTTACAATTTTTGTTTCTTGTAATGAGAACTTTTAAGACTTAGGAGCTTTCACAAGTACATTAAATTTCCTAATATATTTTTCCAGAATTTCTCTTGAATACAAGTTTTCCTCTGATAAATAGAGAAGGTACATTGCCATGTTCTCTTTTAAAAACAGGTTTTCCTCCTTTGTTTCCCCTTCCATTCACTCCAGTAATCTAAAAGAATTTAGTCTATATGTGTATTCTTACTGCATTTCTGAACATAAAATCCACTAATTTACTCAGTTACTTTTCACCACCATGAGGTTAAGTAGAGCCTAGCATTAATGTCATTAAACAAATCAAATTAATGTATTTTTTACCTTAAAATGTGAAGACAAAATTATCTACTCATAGTAGATAATTTTATATAGAGATATATAGTCTCCACATCATACTTTCAATTTGTTTATTGGTAAAAATAACAGTGTATGAAGTAACTGTTAACTGTTAGTATCATCTTTGTTAGGAAAATGTTTTGTATATAGTAATGGACTTATGGATCATCTGTGTGTCTGTGAAGAAGGCAACAAAGCATGGTATAAGAAGCCAGGATATTTCCAGGGAACATTGGTAAGGAAATGTATTCTCTGTTTTTGTTCATCTGAAATTGTTATAGAGCAACCCCGATATTAAACGGGTTCCTGGCTGTGGGTCCTCACCCGCGCGCTTTAAAAGGACTTATGAATACTCTACTACAGACACACACAAAAAGGTTAATAAAAAGTTTATTTACAAGAGGAAAGGAAATAAGGAAAATGTACAACTCAGGGAGAAAATAGGGAAATAAAGTCTTTAATGCGTCCTACCCGATCCGACGACCTGGAAACCCAAAGTCACTCTCAGAGCTGGCCGGACGCTGCGAGCTGGTGGAGAGCCAAAATGGGGTCCCCCAAAGCCCACGTGTCTGCCTTTTATATCCACCTGGCTGCTTAACCCCACCCTCAGGTCCCAGCCACCTTCCCTTTGGTGGTGATGGGATTTGGAGTTCCCAGTGTCTTTGTCTTTGACCTGGGGTGGGGGTGGAGTCCACAAAGCCTATATGGAATTAGCTTTGGGGCATCCTTTTCCCCCTAACAAAATGTCTTTATTTTTTTGGAGAGTATTTTGTATGAATATATAATTCTCACTTAATTTTTCCCCGGCACCTTAAATGTATCATTACATTATCTTCTGGCCTCCCATGTGTCTGACAAGTCAGCCTGCCTTTGTATCATCCTTTCTTTATTATGTATTTTGTCATTTTTTTTCTTTTCTTTCATTGTTTTTATTTTGCCTATAATTTTTTGAGATTTGGGGGCTCTGTAAATTAATACCTTCCACTAATTTGGGGAAGTTTTTGACCATCAGATCATGAGATAATTTCCTTTTTTAATACTCTCCTTTTTTCTATGACTCAAATAAACTTATGTTATACTACTTGATATTTCCCTTGAGGTCTCTGAGCCTCTGTTCATTTTTCTCATTCTTTTCCTCTTCCTTCTTTAGATTAAATAAAATCTATCTTCAGGTTCAATAACTCCTTTCTGTTGTCTCAATTCTATTAACCCCACCTAATAAATCTCTCATTTCAGGTAAAGAATTTTCATTTGGCTTTTTTTTTTATGTTAAACTATTTCTTTGCTGAAATTCCAAATTTGCTCACTAATTGTGCATATGCCATCTTTTAAGTTCTTGAACATCTTTATAATAGCTGCTTTTGTTTCTTTTGTGCTAATTGCATCATTTGAATTATCTCAGTTTTGTTTTCTATTGACTACTTTTTCTCTGAGTCTCAGCATATTGTCTTTTTATGTCTAATAAGTTTTGATTGGATAGTAGATATCATGAATGATACTTTATATAAAGACTGAATTATTTTATATTCTGAGGAGTTAGTTTTTATTTTTTGTGGGAATGCTATTGTTTTCCTCTGGAATTGCATAATAAGCCAAGTTTTGTGGCTAATTTTGTATACAGATTTTGGGACTAATATCCTCTGCAGCACCTTCTTTCCCAGATTTACACCCTTAACTTTCTGGCTGTTCTACCACCTTGAACTCTTTATTTGCCATTTCAAGCAAGTAAGCGTGCTATTCTTTGCCACTCCCACAGGCAAACAAGCTTCAAATATGTAAATTTCACTCGTTTCAAGTTGCTTTTTTATTTATTTTAATTTTTTAATATATTTTTTATGTCACTGTTCATTTTTAAACAATGTTTGCTACCCCCACCTCATGTTCCCCCTCCCCCGGTCCGGTGTAATCCCCATAGAATTTCCTTCACCAATGCACTCGTGCACCATCACCACATTAACAGCAGATTTCCCTCTGGTTTTTGCCTGCTTTTGTTTTCTCTCCAGAGATTTCAAATAATGGGCTTAAATAATATTTTCTCAGATTTTATAGTTGATGAGGAGAATTAATCTGACCAGCTTTGGTGAGTATAGCCAAAATATAATATTTGAAAACTTGGTTTCTCCACCCTAAGTAGAACAATCCAAATCTAAGTAACACACATTTTATTCTGTTAGCAGAAAGTATCACCAGGAAATGTTTTGTGTTTGGAAGTTGAAGAAAGTTCCTTTAAAAAAAAAAAAAAAAAAAAAAGAACGAGCATACATATATCTGAGATACTCATTACATAACTAAACACTTGAACGGCTCAAATTAATAATTTTCAGTATAAACTTTTTGTATATCAGTTTCAGGGATATATTGTGACTACTTTTTTGTATTATGATTTTAGGATGCCTTTTTGAAAATCATTCGAAATGAGGGCATTAAGTCCCTATGGAGTGGCCTTCCCCCTACCTTGTAAGTTGATACTTGGTATTTTTCTTACTAAATTAATGTTTATTATTTTGTTTTGCCATATGGTCACCAAGGTTGGACAGAGTTGGAACTTTCAATATTAGAACATTTTCACTTCTAAAGCATTGTTTTGTGAGTCCCACAACCATTTCATGACTTGTTGGAAGGACTCATAGGGCGGAAAGAAGGTTATACTTATGTCTGTGGTTTATTGCAACAAAATTAGAGAACATAAAATTAATAAGGGAAAAAGATACAGCAATAGTTGACTAGACTTAGGCTTCCAGAGTCCTCTGTTATGACATCACACTTACTCTTCTAGCATTGGCTATAGTAGTACATGCAAAGTCTTTCTACCTTAAAACTCACTTAAATTTCAGCACATAGGGCTTTTTGTAGTCTTGATGATGGAGGCACATTCTGTCTTCATGATAGCAGTGATTACTAAACCACCAGGTCCCCAAAAGGAAAGCAGATGTTTTGAAAAGTTACATAATTTGTACAAGTCAACCTAGACAAGTTGGTTTAGTGCTCCACACAGTCAAAAAAAATCTTATTATATGGAGCATTTCAAGGGTTAAATTCCTTGAAGTTGTCCAAAGTCAAGCATCTATATAGACTCTCTTGAAGATATAAAAGATTTGAGCAACTAAATCATTTATATTTTCTTCAGTGCACAGGTATACATTTTTAATGTTTAGAAATGAGGAATATGGTATTCATTTAACTTTTTATTGATTTTACAAAAGTACTGAGATAATATGGTGTATATCCTTTTACCTTTCCATATAATTTTAATATTCTTGAATTAATCTGATCAACAGGAAAGTCTTAATGTAATACTCCCCACTAATAGCTTGCCTTTCTCTGCCTCCTTTCTTTCTAATTTATCTTTTTATGGAGCAAATTAGACAACTTTGAGGCAAATATTTTAAACAGTGAACTCAGGTTATAATGCAAGTGGCAAATCCAAAAGCAGCAGTCAGTTCTGTTTCTAAATTTTCATGATCAGAATTCACTATGAAACATTAGACATTTCAAAGTGATCTGTGAATAGCCTTTAGATAGCTCATAAACATAGATGGATTTCTTATTGCAATAACATTTATGACTTAACAGTACCTTCAACTTTGTGATTAATTTAATTAATAATCCCCTTTCGATATTTTCATTTTGAAGATTGTCATTGGAACTTTCTCAAACTTGTATATATTATTCTGTCACCATTAACTGTAACTTATTTTCAGTTATAAGTAGAAATGATATATGGTGCATAGTTCAAAAAAAATTTTACTCTTGTACTTTTCTTATATCAATGATTTTCATGTTATAGTAGATTAATTGTGAAGGAAAACAACAAACAAAGTCAGGGAGAAAGAGATGTGTCCTCATTTGTCTTTTCCTACTTATGACCTGAGCCAGGTGTTATGGCAGGTACTTTACTACTGGAATGTAAACTTCTGAAAGGCAGGTACCAAATTTACATCTTTTTGTTGCCTACTAAATTAAGCACTAATAACTTTTAAAATAAAATAAATAACTTTTAGAATCTATGATCTCATTGATTGATTGCAGTTTTCAGTTTAAATATAAAGATTTTAACTTATATTTAATAATTTAAGAATATGATTATTTCAATACTTTTGCACAAAGCTTCTTGTTTGTGTACTTTTAATAGAGTAATGGCAGTTCCTGCTACAGTTATTTATTTTACCTGCTATGACCAGTTAACTGATCTTCTGAGATCTAAATTAGGAGAAAATGAAAACAGCATACCAATTGTTGCTGGAATTGTGGCCAGATGTAAGTAAGACTTATCTTCATTTAATGCATCTTTCAAAATTTTGACATTCATGGAGATTTTGTATAAATACATAATATTGGTAAGATATATATTTACATTATAATGTGTACCAATAGTTATTATCTACACTTCAGAAATAATATGGTGTGATGATTGCCATCAGAATGAGATTGGGGATCAACCCATCCTGGAGATTATAAATTTTAGACTTTAGATCCTAAATTTTAGGATGATATCAGATTAATGCCAAAGTCCAGAATCATTTCCATAAAGAGTTTAATTTACCTCTATGCCAAGGGAAATTTTTTTCTGTGTAGTAGGAGTTAGGGTTATTGGAGTACTAACTAAAATGAGGGTTTGTCAGTAGTCCTAATTGATGTATATTTCTGGAACTACCTTTGTTAGAGTTGAAGACAGAAAACATAAGGTTTTTATGAAAACATACTTTTAAGACATGCCTTTATCAAGGAAAAAAGTTATATCAATATGTTGGCATTGTTAGACACTTTATTTTTGGATTTGCAGACATTTCAGAATGAGAGATTAAAATATAAAATGCATGTAATATTAGTTTTTTGCTTGTGTGTGTATAGTACATAGCTTTTTGTTTTCATTTTCTTATATTTGCTTATATTTTCTTATATTTGCTTGTTTATATAGTTGGTGCAGTAACTGTTATAAGTCCATTAGAATTGATTAGAACCAAGATGCAATCTAAGAAGTTTTCTTATAAGGAACTGCATCAGTTTGTCAGCAAGAAAGTATCTGAAGATGGTTGGATTTCCCTTTGGAAAGGCTGGGCTCCTACTGTTCTTAGAGACGTGCCATTCTCAGGTAGGATTTATCTTGTTAGTATCTGCTAAATTTTAGGTTACTTTGTGTTAAATTTGAGTTATGTTAAAATCAGCTAAATTTTTAACCCTTTAAGAATAAAGGTAAGTTATCTTTCTTTAGTGACCTCAGTCCTGATTCATTATTGGGCTCTCAGATCTCTTCATGTCTTTATTGAATGAATAGTCTGTGGTTTTCTTTTCTCTATGTTTCTTTTTAAACACTGGTGTGTATTCATATTTATAGAATGCAAAACTACATTATTCTAAATAAACCATAATTAATAATCTATTACAAATTAAAATATTTTAAAATTAATTTAACACCACCTATAAATTATATTGATGTCTACTTTTTTAATTATTAAAGATAAAAATTCCCCCCATTAAATGAGTGCCCTATGAGAGGCAATTATAAATCAGAAGATCATGCTACTCCCTGAACTATGAAAAGGAAAAAAATCATGAAAAATAAGTACAAAACTAGGGGCCTCCTTGGTGGCGCAAGGGGTTAAGACACAATCTATGAAACTGTCCGCAGCCACTGCAGCATGAGTTTGATCCCCAGCCAGGTAGTTACCCAAATGGTGCAGCAGACCTCTCCTGACTCGCCCGCTGCTCCCCTTAGCAGTGTATTTCAGTCAATCCAGCTGTTCTGTTCCCCACCCTATCTCCGGTGAATCCTCTCACCCCCACACCTCTGGCCTGTACCCCAGTTCTTGTGTGCATAAATAAATAAATCTTTAAAAAAATAAGTACAAAACTAAACAACTTGTACAACATGTATACTTCACTAGAATGTTGCTTATGAATCACAGGAGTTTCCATTTAAGACCTGAGAGAAATAATCATTGAAAACCCTTGAATTGACATTCCTCATCCTTTCTTTTTCCTTTGAGTTAATCATTTTCTTGGGCTCTTATCAATATTTTTTTCCCTTTTCAATAGTACAGTATTTTTCATCACTCTTTATTGTTGAGTTATGCTGTTTAGAAACTTAGCATGGTATAATTAATAAAAGATTCCTAGGCCAGTTTATAAAAAATGTTTATTGCAGATCTTTGATAGATTAAAAAATATATAGTTTAAAATTACTAGGTATAGGGCCTCCCTGGTGGTGCAAGGGGTTAAGATGCAACCTATGAAGCAACCCACAGCCTCTGCCACAGAAGTTTGATCCCCAGCCGGCCAGGGAGCAACCCACATGGCGCAGCAGACCTCTCCTGTCTCTCCTACTGCTCCCCTCAGCAGTGTATTTCAGCCAGTATGTCTGTTCTGTTCCTCACTCTGTCTCTGGTGAATCCTCTCACCACCACTCCCCCACCCCCACATCTCTGGCCTGTACCCCAGCTCCTGTATGCATAAATAAATAAATCTTTAAAAAAATAAAATTACTAGGTATATTAATGAGATGAACACCTGTGAAATTCCCACTTTACTCTAGAACATTGCACATTTTTCATTTCTGAAATTATATAGATCCTTCTCCATTGTCACATCCTTAGTGGTAACCACTATATGAATTTTTCTTTATTATTCTTTTCAGTTTTAAACATGTTTTATCACATGTGCATTACTGTTAAACAATATATTATTTAGTTTTTCCTTTTTGAGCTTTAAAAAATGCTTATTTTAAAATTTTCTCTTAAGATTCTCTTTTGTTCCAATACCATGCAGTTATGATTATTATGGCTTTGTAGTATAGTTTGAAGTCTGGGAGTGTGATACCTCCATCCCCTTCTTTTTTTTTTTTTCAGGAGAGCTTTGGTTATTCAGGGTTTTTGGTGGCTCCATATGAATTTCATCAATATTTGTTCTATTTCTTTGAAGAATGTCATTGAAAATTTTATTGGAATAGCATTGAATCTGTATATTGCTTTTGGTAGGATGGCCATTTTAATAATTTTTATTCTTCCAATCCATGAGCAAGGGATGTCTTTCCATTTCTTTGTGTCTTCTTCTATTTCTTTTAACAGTGTTTTATAGTTTTCTTTGTATAGGTCCTTTACCTCTTTTGTTAGGTTTTTTCTCAAGTATTTGATTTTTTTTGTTTCAATAATAAAAGGGATGGTTTTCTTGATTTCTTCTTCTTCAGATTTATTGTTTGTATATAGGAAGGCTACTGATTTTTGTGTGTTGATTTTGTATCCTGCTACTTTAAGGGATCATGCTCAGCGAAATAAGCCAGAAAGAAAAAGAAAAATACCACATGGTCTCACTCATAGCATGAATTTAGAAAACCTAAATAAGGCACCAGGAAAAAACCTAATTATAATAAAGTAAAAATCAAAATCAACAAGCAACTATAAACCAGAGACACACTACGGGGTGGGGAGGAGGGAGTAGGATCAAAACAAGGGGGGGTGGGAATTGTATGGGGACTATAACCAATATGAAAATGCATACATTGTGCAAAAATGAAAAATGATGTAAAAAGTGTATAAAATAAAAAAATAAAAAATAAAAACAATATGGTATTCTTTTTTATGTGTAACTGCTTTCAGTTATTTGTTTATGTGTGAATAATGAAGTGAACAATGCTACTGTACATTTTTAATAGTGTATCTACTGGTTCATATAAACATATACATTTTAAATTTTATTGTTACATCAAACCCTTTTCTAAAGTGATTATGCAGGTCATCATACCTACTACCTTGATGCTGACTTACTTTATACTCTCAACAGCACTTTTTATTGTCAAATTTCTTAGTTTTTGTTTATGTAGTAATTTTAAGTAGTATCTCACTTTAACTTGTTATGAATGAAGTTGGTTATTAATGAAGTTGGACACTGTTTCTTGGCCACTTATTTATCTGAAATTGATTTGGGGTTATGGATTGAAAATATTGTCCCAAGTGTTGGTGCTTTATTAAAAATTTTGACATTATTGTTTTCCCTAGAAATATCCTATCCCTTTATTCAATAACTCTTCTTTAAAGGGTTTTAGTAGAGATAAAATTTTTTCCTTATAAAACTTGTATACAGTCTTTTTAAATTATTTATGATATACACACCCACCCCTAGCTTTTGGTAGCTACTTTTAAAGCTCTATATTTTTAAAAATTGAGGTAATATTGCTTTACAACATTGTATTTTAAAGTATAGGACCTCTCTTTTCAGCTGTTGTTCCATAACCACAACCAAGGCATCCATAATCCATTGTGCTACTCTGCCCCCCCAGTATCAGATTTCTAGGGTTTGTTACTAGCTTGGCTTTATCTAACCCTTTGTTTTGTTTCTCTGTATTCCACATCTAAGTGACATCATCTGGTATTTGTCTTTCTCCTTTTTTTTATAGTTTGTTTTCTTACATCTTTGTTAATTTTTGAATAGTTTTTTATTTCTCCCAATGTAGTCCCTGTAGTTATCCCACCACCATAGTACCTGTGATCTATCACCACAGTTCCTTGTGCTCTTCCCTGTCCTATTTTGATCCCTCCCTTTTCATCTCCCCCTCCCTTGCTGTATGCCTGTGATTTATGGTCAGTTTGCAAGTTTTGCCTTTTTTTTTTCTTTTTTTCCTGACTTGCTTGGTCTCTCTCTGTTCTGCATATAAGTGAAATCATCTAGTACTTATCATTTTTCTCCTGACTTACTTCACACAGCATTATCCATTCCAACTCCATCCATGGAGATGTGAATGGCAAGGGTTTATCTTTTTTGATAGCTAAGTAATATTCCATTGTATATATATACCATATCTTTCTGATCCACGCATCTGTTTGGGGGTGCTTAGATTATTTCCATAGTCTGGCTGTTGTAAATAGTGCTACAGTGAACATTTGAATTGGTGCTTTGTGTTCTTTAAGAAGATACTCAGGAGTAAAATTACTCAGTCATATGGTAAAAAAAGATTTCAAAATCTCTGTGGCTAGTTCAGTGTTAACAGTTTATTTTTGTTTGTTATATTTTTTAAAAAACTTATAAATTCTAATTTGTTTGCATAGCTCGTGGATTTTCTATGTAGAAAATAATAAATAAAATATGACTATTTTGTTAATTATGATCTTTTAAATCATTATTCTCCTTATTTTTTTCTACCTTACTGTGCTTCCTAATAGAGTTTTGAATATTAGCAATGATAATGTTGCATCCCTATTCTATTTGGTTAAATGGAATAGCTCTGTTGTTTCACCATTAATAATCATTTTTTGCTACATGTTCTTGATGCATTTCATTTAAGAAGTTTCCTTTTATCCCTTGGTTTCTGAAACATTTCTATATTTGCCTTAAATGAAAATGTGGATTTTATAAAATGTTTTTTCATCATTTTACATGATCCCATGGGCCTTTATTGTGGTATGTGGTTTTTAAAGTTAATATGAGATATTTTTTTAAGATTTATTTTTATTTATTATGCATACAAAAACTGGGGCCTAAGCCAGAGGTGCCGGTTGGGGAAGGGGTGGGAGGATTCACCAGAGACAGAGTGGGGAGCAGAACAGGCAGATCTACTGAAATACACTGCTAAGGGGAGCAGTGGGCGAGGCCGCAGCACCAATAGCATGATCGCACTGAGACTTAGCCCCAGGGCCACCAAAGAGACCCCCTAATATGATGTATGTTGTTTAAAAATTATTATAATTGGGCCTCCCGGGTGGCGCAGCGGTTGAGCGCTGGGTTGCGAAGCTGCCCACAGCCTCTGCAGCGACAGCTCAATCCCTGGCCACAGGGTGAGGGGCCCACATGGCACGCAGACCTCTCCTGCCGCCTGCTGCTCCCCTCAGCAGTGTACTTCGTCAGTCAGCCTGCTCTGCTCTCCGCTCTGACTCTGGTGAATTCTCTCGCCCTCCCGCGCTAATGGCTGTACCCAGTGCTTGTATAAATAAATAAATAAATAAATAAATCTTTAAAAAAAGATAAATAAAAATTATTATAATTATTGCCTTTGTATGATTCAGATAACCCAATTTAGTTATAGTATATTATCTTCTATGAAATACTTTGGTTTCAATTGGTTATTTTTTATTTTTTTTATTTTTTTACTTCTATGTTCATGAAATACTTTGGTTTCAATTGGTTATTTTTTATTTTTTTTATTTTTTTACTTCTATGTTCATGAATGAGATTGGTCTGTCCTTTTTTTTTTTTTTTTTTTTTTTTAATCCCACTGTTCTTGTCAGGTTTTGGAATTAAAGTCCTACTTTACTGATTCTTCAGTTTTTTCTTTGCTTTTAATCAGCTTGCTAGAAAATTACTGAGAATTTTTTTAAAATCTCACCTAGTTTGTGTCTAAGCAGAAAGCAAAGTTTGTCAAAGATAGAATTTTTCTTTTCCTTTAAAGTATAACCTCATAAATATTTTCTTTGAAGTTCACATTTCATTTTTAATTATGTATTCTTTTTATTCTCTGTTTTTATAGCAATGTATTGGTATAACTATGAAGTTTTAAAGAAGTGGTTGTGTGTGAAATCTGGTTTATATGAACCAACATTTATGGTCAACTTTACCTCAGGTGCATTGTCTGGTTCTGTAAGTTTATTCTTTTCTTGCTACTATTTCAGAATAATGATAATTGTATTAAAACAGGACAAAATACTATGTAACATTTTGTGTCTACTGAGATAATACTTTTAGACTGTACTTGTTATACATTTTTCTATATATTTACTATCCTATTTTGAGAAAATTACTTTTAGCCATTAAATATTTTAAAATGCACTTTGCATATTTTTATCATATTACAAATACATTATTATATTTTTCTAAAAGCCTTTTTTATTTAAGGCATTACAGTTCATGATAATGATAACAGTTTAAATAGTATTTTCTTATTTTCAAAGTATTTAGCCATTCATTCATTAAATTGCTAGATCTTGTTAGGCAGTATATCATGAAATAAAAAAAAAATTATTTCATGAAGTTCCATTACATATGTATAAACAGATTGAATAGAATTAATTTTATCCTCTCATGCTAATTCTTGTTTCTTTGGAAACATTTTTAAGAAATTAAATACTTCTTAGAAGAGTTTTAATAAAAATCACTATCAGTGGGAGCAATCTCAAATGACCATTTTTGGGTAGTAGAGAGTTCACCTTTTCCCACTCTTCCAAATAATGAAAAGTCATGTGGTGGCTTTCCTTTATGGAGATTCATATCACCATGATCTTTGCATGAAGAGTTTTCTTATAACTACACACTTATAAAATGAATGTGAAGGATGATTCACAGAGAGGTGCTTATTATTAAACCATAAAAAAAAAAAAAAACCACAAAAGTGAAAGAAGCATAAGCTCAGTGTTGGATACCTTCAGAAAAATATAAGAACAATTGCATCAGAGAACCTAGGCTAAGAAAGACACTACAGTTGAATTTAAATGCTAGGAATATCTCTAGGTTTGAAATCTGTGAAATTAAGGCCGGTGGTTATAAGCCTGTTGATCCAAAAAAGCCATTACTGTTGTTGAATAATGACTTCAGGAAGTTATAACAGCTTTCTAGTAATATAAAGGAAAGTTGTCTATTTTATTTTTTAGTTTAACATAGAAAAATTATTAAAATAAATTTTAGTAATCTATTACTATTAACAGCCTTTGGACAGTCTTTGAATAAAAATGTCTGCAATAGAAGAAGTACATCATTGTGATGTCTAGGCTTTGAGCCAGAAAACAGAATAGGCTAAACTATATCATTTTACAGAGTATCAGAGTTTTACATTATATTGTTGTTACCCTTTTCTACTACATGTTAGATTGTAGAGATGGAGAATTAAAAATTCAATTTATCTTAACTGATATCTTTGAAACTGATTTCATTTCAAGAACTTAAGCATTGTTAAAGTGAAATAAAATACAGGTGATTTTTAAGAGGCACTTTATTAAGTTTTGACAAATGTGAGTTGGGAAGCAAACAAATAGAGACCAGTTTTACTTTGTATGGATGGCTATTATACCAAATATATGAGGTACTTGAAGACTGTTCTTTAAAAAATTTCTTTGCTTCATTGGGGCACTGTGAAGGTAATTGTTGATTCATTTTGAGATTTTTTTTTAAATGTAGTTTGTGAACTTTTGGAACTAAACTTAATAGGCATGTTGAAACCCATAAAGAAAAGGTATATAGAACTAAAAGTTCAAAGTTCATTTTTTATTCTATTTTTAAAATGTTTGCTGAAAAATTTTCAGTTCTCACTAGATACTGGAATACTTTTGTTTGTATTATACTTCATGTGTAGAAGAATATCAGAAATTTTCAATACTGGTTTTGGAGTCAGAGGTCTTGGAATTCTGACTCTGTCACTAAGTAGTTGTGTGACCTTAAGAAAATAGGCAAATTTTTCTAATATTTTTCACCAACTTCTGAATTTTGGGAGAAATACCTCAGTGGCGTTTTTATTTAATAAAAGCTTCTCTTTGAATATATCTGGTTTTAGTTTAAGTTGCTATTTAGCTATGATTTTCATTAGCATCCTTATTAGGTAATGTGCAATAGAAGAATGTAAAAATATTTTAGGAAGAATTTAAAGGTAGATTTAAATTAATCAATTTTACTTTTTGATAGTTTGCAGCTATTGTAACTTTGCCATTTGATGTGGTAAAAACACAAAAGCAGACACAGCTTTGGATATATGAAAATCCTAAAAGTAAGTTTAATTTTGTTAAGATTTATTTATGCATACAAGAGCTGGGGTACCAGCCAGAGATGCGGGGGGTGAGAGGATTCACCAGAGAGAGTGGGGAACAGAACAGGCGGATTGACTGAAATATACTGCTGAGGGGAGCAGCGGGTGAGACAGGAGAGGTCTGCTTCACCATGTGGGTTGTTCGCTGGCCAGCCGGGTTTGAACTCGTGCTGCAAAGACTGTGGATTGTTTCACAGTGCAGTGCTTAACCCCTTGCTCTACCAGGGAGGCCCGCTAAATGTAAGTTTAATTAATTTAAAGCTTAACAAGATACTATGAAAATGTTTCTTTTCTTTCCAAATTCTGTTAGCAATATGTAAAAACAAGAAAAATATTTTCCCCCTCTGCAGCCTTATTCTTTATTTAACTTTATTTAACTAATGAATAAACTTAGAATGGAATGCCAGAAAAAAAATACTCTGAACACACACAGAAATTTAAGAAATTTTACAATCTATGTTTTTGACCTGGCTTCTGTTAAATCTCATAACAGCTATATAGAAGATTGAATTATGAGAGTATCCTTTCAAATAAATCTAGGCATACGGGGTGAAGAATAGGAAATTAGTAGGAAACCTTTTTCTTTTGTTTTGTCTCATTAGTATGCATCTACAATTCTTTTTTTCCTGTTTATTTTTTAGCTTATCTTCTATTGATAAGTTGTTTTCCACTTATTATCCCCTGTTTTTACTTCTTTGTAACCTGTAATTTCATCTATTACAAAAATTTCTTTTAGTGGCTTCCATTAGATCCCCTCTGTCATTATCTATAGAAATTATAGTACACCCATTTGAAATATCCATTACAAAATTTGTCACATAAGCCTTGTACTAAGCCTATTATAATATAGATTATCCTAACCCATCTGAATAATGTTTTACATACCAAGTAAAATAGGTATTGAAAAAAACATTGATTACAGACCTCTGAAATAAATCTGATGAATACCAGTGACAGCTTTGTCCTTGACTTATCAAAGTCCTACTCCCTTCTCGTATTATAGTCTTTAAAACCTGGAAGTAATCAGAGTTCATAATCAAAATGGGAGGGTTCTTCCACTCCCAAATATGTGTCCTAGAGAAGTATACAAGGATATTCACTGAAGCATCATTAATCCCAAAAGCAAGAAACCACCTAAATGTTCTGTTATAGGGAAATAGGTAAACTGTGATAATCCATATAATGCAGTATTATACAGCAATTAAAGTAAATAAAATATAGCAATATTTGCCAAGAGAGATAATCCTAAAAATACATTATAAAAGTATGAAAAATGAGTGCAGTTTTGGGTATGTTTATGAGTATGTTCAGATGTAGTAAAAGTTGAAACACGCTTGTGAACAATAAAAAAGAGGAGATTGGTTGCCTCTTTGGACATAAGGAAAGGATAAGATTGGGAAGGGATATACAGTGCATTCAATTGTAGCTAAAGATACAACTAAGATTTGATAAATTTGAATGGCCAGTAAATGAATGTTTATTGTTTTATATGCTTGAAATATTTAATCAAACTTTTTCCTTAGAGTGTAAGAAGTTGCTTATTAGTGGTAGGAATAGCCCTTTGGGACTCAAGGCAAGAGATACTTTTCAGGTTCCATCAGAGCTCTGCCATGGCTTACTTCAGTTGATAATTCTATTTTATTTTCTTTATGCAATATTTTTATTGCAGTAACATTGGTTTACAATTTACCGTATATGATTCAGGCATAGGAGCACATCTTTTTAGCTTTAAGACCATACTCCCATAAAGGCACCCATAGTCCTCCACCATAGCCCACTGAGTCCTCTTTTGTTCTTCCTCCTCACCCTCACTGGTAGCTTCAGTTTTACAGTCATTTCTAGGGCTTGTTTTGGGGTTGGTTTTGTCTGACTCTTTGTTTCATTTCTCTTTATTTCATGAGTGAAACCATCAGATAGCTGTCTTTCTCCTTCTGACTTATTTCTCTTAACATAATTCCCTCAAGCTCAATCCATTTTGTCACACCTGGCAAGGTTTCATCTCCTTTTTATAGCTGAGGAGAATACCACAGTGTATGTATACCACATCTTAATCCACTCATCTGCCCTTGGGCACTTAGGTTGCTTCCTAACTTGGTTATAGTAAATAGTGCTTCAGTAAATACAGGAGTGCATATATATCCCTTTAGTGTTTTTGTAGTCTTAGTGGATACCTAGGAGCAGAATTGCTGATCTCAAACCAAAACTTTGAAATCTTCAGCTTGTCAACTGTCACGTTTTTCACAAAGTAGTGACCTGCTCCTTAGCAAAAAATAAGTAAAATAAATGTATTGAATTTAGTCTCTGAGCTAAACCAACTGTTTGGAATTATTATGTAAAATGAAGGTAAGTGAACTTTGTGTATGAACATCTGACTCATTCATAAACATATGTTTGAACTTCAGTGACACTTATTTTTTTTTTTTTATAGAGGCATGTTTTATTTATTTATTTTATTTGTTTGTTTGTTTTGTTTATACATGCACTGGGTACAGTCAGAAGCGCGGGAGGGTGAGAGAATTCACCAGAGCCAGAGTGGGGAGCAGAGCAGGCAGAAGGACTGAAGTACACTGCTGAGGGGAGCAGCGGGCGGCAGGAGAGGTCTGCGCGCCATGTGGGATCTTCCGCCGGTGGCCGGGGAGCAGCCGGGGATCGAACCAGCGGCCGCGGGCAACTTCGCAACCCAGCGCTCAACCGCTGCGCCACCGGGGAGGCCCAGTGACACCTATTTTTGCTGGGCTTTTTTTTTAAATTTAATTTCTTACTATGTTCCCAATATTTGAATGGTTGCACCTATGTGAGATGTTATTGTTAAAGGATAAATCAGTCCTGGAGGAGGCAGGACTAATCTATTTTAAGACCGTTATATCTATTCAGAGTGGTTGTAATAAACTGAGTCCTTACTAAGGAGAAAGATCTATTTTCCTCAGAACTTCATTTAGAAAAAAAAATTTTAATGTTGTAATGAAAATTAAATTTTGGTTTTTCTTTGGCTTTGGCAACCCAATAGAAGTTTTTGTGTATCTTGTAAAAGACTTAAAAATCATTGAGAAAGATATGGGAAAAACATAAAGGATGACCACAACTTAAAAAACAAACATCAATTCAGAAGAAGCCTTCTGTTCTATAGATAACTCCTTAACTGCATCCAGTCCTATAAACCTTTAAACTTGTAGCCTTTTTTTCCTGATTTTTCTTATAATGAATTAAACTACTAGAATATTTAAAGCTCTTTAGACAAACACATCTGTTCTTATTATAATGAAGTAATATACACCCAAAGGCAATAAACATTATTTTATATGTATTATCTATATATGAAATTAAGTGCAATTTATGATAGTATTTCTTTATTTTAATTTTAGTTTCTATGCCTTTGCATATGTCAACTTGGGCTATAATGAAGAACATTGTTGCTAAGAATGGACTTTCTGGATTATTTACAGGTAAAAATACTTATTTAACCAAATCACTGAATACAACATTTTTAAAGTTTACACCTTCCTGAATTAGCTTTAAGCAGGAAATTATTGAAAACATTCCACGTTTATGATTTCCTCCTAAACATCTTTGCTGTAAGTTAAAAAAAAAAAAGTTAAATGACAATAGATTTGCTATTGATAAGAGAAAATTTTCACATAAAGTAACATGGAATTGAACTAAAATTGGGAGTGAGCAGTTTGGTCTTTCTTTGCTACCAGCTTATCACACAAAACTTTATATACTATTTCATTTCATTATATCATTATCAGAATGAAGCCACATAAATTGCCTTTTTTAAAGGTAACATTCTGCTTTTTTTCTCTTCTTTTCAGGCTTAATTCCTCGTTTAATTAAAATTGCTCCTGCTTGTGCCATTATGATCAGTACATATGAATTTGGAAAGTCTTTCTTCCAGAAACAGAATGCTCAAAGACAGCAATACTAGTGATGCCATTTCAACTTGAAATAACAACCATAGCCAAATAATAAGGTGGAGACTCGTAGGCAAAAACTGTTTTCATCATTATCTTTCATGACTTTGTATTTCCTTCAATTTAAGTGAATATTAATTTCTACTTTGCCTCTAATACATAATCCTAGTTTTAAAATAAATTGTTATTCTAATTTTTGAGATCAAAGATTTCTAGATACCACAATCATTGAGCATTCTTGTAAAGAAATGAAATTATTCCATTGTACTGCTAACAAGCTCTAAGAGGTTGATGTTATAGGTTTTGGTTTTACTTAATCTTACTGGGAATTTATCACAACGAATAATATTTTTAATTTTGTGTTGAATGATATATAATCTAGAAGAAAAATGCCCAAATCTATCATATACTTTGAAATCAGGTTTATATATATTTTAAATTCTTTCAGAAGTAGATAATAAAAGGTTGTCTTTAAATAACATTATTGACATTTCCTAAATATTACTTGCTATTTTTTTAGTTCAAATGTGTAAGGTTTTCTTTTTAACCCTGCTTTTGTCTTAAGGTTTTTATGTGTTGGGATTTCTCTAACCAAAGGCACGCTTAGTTCACCTTTCTGACCAAAAATATATTTAATATAAATGCTGATATTAAATGCTGCTATTTTTGATGACTAAAGATTCAGTATTAACTACTGGCATTTGCAACAGAGAGGGTTTTTTTTTTTTTTTTTTTTTCACTGAATGTATGAAATGTTTACTGCAGTCAAACGGGTGTGAGTCAAAAAGTATATTGTATTTAGACTGGTAAAAATGTTTCCAAAGAGGAAGAGTCTCTGGTTTCAGTCATCTTCTAACTCAAGTATCATTGTGGCGTTCTCTCTTTCCCTTCTATTATTCTAACAAAATTAAGGTTAAAATACAGTTATCCGTCACAAAATATTTATAAAATGTCCTTTGAGTCTATAAATCTCAATTAGTATGATAGACCAAGAATAGTAGTTTCCTTGCAGAATAGCGTCCTGTCACTTAGTGCTTAGTGCCTAAGTAATTTAGCTTATGACTAAATTATATGATGGCATGACAAGAATGATATCTAATTTTATAGTTTTGTTTGACTTCTCAGGATCTATATCCTATAAGAAAGAACATTTTATTATAGTCTATGTGTATCTTATGAAAATGATGCATTTTTTTACCCCTAAAATAGAATACTTTACTCAGTATTGCTAGAGGAATTCATGTATTCTTTATTGTAGTAGAAAAGTATTGATACACCAGAAATAAACTACATACAGTAGTATGTAACTTTGTGTTTATTTTATCCTGTGTTGAATTACCTTAAATTTGCCACATATATCCATAAAATATAAATATTTGACTTTAACTTACATTTTCATTAAAATGTTTTATGCATTCTGAGCTAAAATTATTACTGTGCTTCTAGTTATTTTCATATGAATTCATTATATGTTAATGCTGTGTGTGTATGTACATGCATGCATGCACACACGAAAACTTAACTTGAACTATATATGCTGTTTTACACAATTAAATTTACCTTGATTTTTCTCTGTTTTTTGATAATTGGGAAAGGTAGAAAAATTTAGAATTATGCTCTAAAAAAAGTCATTTATCTCAACTTAGTATCACTTATAAAATACCAGGAGGGATATTTACAGTTCCCCAATGTCATATTAACTGCACTTAGGAAAAATCTTTTTATGACTAAAATAAGTAAGTCCAATTTACTAGTAGTTTTTTTAACATATATTGCATGTACTGTATCTGGATGCAAAGAAGGCTGAATTGAAGCTCTCTCTCTACACTTAAGTGGTAAAGAAGCATTAATACTTCTGTTAAAAAAAAATAGTAGCAACCAAAAAGGGTTTGGCTAGAAATTGTGTTTTTGGTAATGTTTTTAAAAGAAAGCACTTTTATTCTATTAATGTTGCATTTTTTAATATACACCTTTAATTTTCTACATGTAAATTTTAAGAAATATCTTATTCAGTTATTACTAGTTTGCTACATTTCATTTAATAATACATTTGAATTCCTAGATATGGAGTTAAAATAAATTTTTCACTTATTTCAAGGAAAATTACACTATACTTAGCCACATGACACCTTTAAATTCTTACCTTTTTCTAGGATACAAATTCAAGGGGTGTGAAGAAAGTTTAATGGACCACTTAAATTTTTTTCTAACATGAACTTTTAAAATAAATTACTGCTTTTGTATTTTAATATATCATTCAATACTTACTGAGATCTTTCAAGTGGTAGGCTATATAAAAAGCACTAAAGATGGTGAAAGAACTGCAGAGATTCTCACTGCCTCAAGGAGATTTCTGAGCTTTTTTTGATAGAAGTATGCAAAAGGAGTGATGGAAAATCAGAGGAACTCTACTCAGCCTGAGGCAGATGGAAAGTGATCAGGAAATGTTTCTAAGATCAGGATAGGTGATCCAACAGATATACCTGTCCCTGCAAGTCTTAATCAGGAAAAGGAAGTTAGTCACAGTGGCTTTGAGAGCAAACTAGAAATGTTGTTGAAGGCCTGTGTCCTAAAAGGAGAACAAGAAAGTCAACAGGAAACCAAGGAAAGATTTTTGGCACAGCTCTGATTAATGAAAGATTGGTTTCCCTCCACCCAAGACCAGCAATTTTTTACTGAAAGAAAACAAGATTGCATAGTCTTTTAGTATAGCATAGAACAGAAAACCCCAAAACCTGCCACATGTACTAAGGCCTACTGTTGTATTGTGAAACTTTAGTTTTAGTTGTATTTTAGAACAATAAGCAATATGGAAAATAAAATTATAAATAGGTAATCTATTTAAGAACAAACTAAAAGTTTTGGTTTGGACTGAATATACTTTTAAGAGGTGTCACAATTACATAAGTATAATTTTAGCTTCCTCTTCCCATCAGTTGAAAAGAAAAAGTGCTGAAGAGAAAGAAAAGCTGCTTTGCTTACAGAAGTGACTTGGGCAAAGGGTATATACAATATACATATAGCAATTAAATGTTAAAAAATTTAAGAGTCCTGATGTTCAAAGCAATAATATGACATTTCAGAGGTAACCCAATATATTATTTTTTTAAGATTTATTTATTTATGCATACAAGAGCTGGGGTACAGGCCAGAGGCATATGGGGGGTGGGGTGAGAGGATTCACCAGAAACAGAGTGGGGAATGGAACAGGCAGATTGACCAAAGTACACTGCTGAGGGGAGCAGTGGGCGAGTAAGGAGAGTTCTGCTGCGCCATTTGGGTTGCTCCCTGGCTGGCTGGGAATCGAACTCATGCTGCAGTGGCTGCAGATAGCTTCATAGGTTGTGTCTTAACCCTTGCGCCACCAGGGAGGCTCCCCAATATATTATTTTATCAAAAGTGGAGATCTACTGCCTGCTGATAGGAACTTTAACCAAGTTCCATAAATGTAAATTTGAAACACATTTTTAGCCACTTGAAACGTACATGTAAATTTAATAAAGATGACAAATAAAAACTTATTCACCTGCATTTTAAGGTTCCTGTTGGTTATAATAATAGCTTATATTTGGCATTTACCTCTTAAGGATTTAGGCATATGACTGTATTTAATGCTGATATCATCACCTTGGCGATGTTTCTATCTTACAAATGAGAAAACAAACATGGTGATTATATAAATTAGCAACACTGTCAACACCACTGCTGTATTGTACCACTTCAGTAGCTACTGTGTATGCTAAAGCTTGTCATGTTATTTTTTTTAAATAAAAAGTATTTAATTTATGAGAAAAAAGGATTTCTCCAAAACCATTTTCATATTAGTATTTCAGGTGTGAACAGACATTTACCACATTTGTTGAAACAAAAGTTCAGTGAACAATTATATCCAAGTAACTTTTTGTCAAGAGGAAAATAAGACTACTAATACATGGTACAAAATGTTTAATATACATGCAACAAGTATAGTACATCAAGGCAACAAAATGCACATTTAAATATTAGCATATAATTCAGCATTCTATTTTGGAGAGGCTGTACAAACAATAAATACTACCACCTAAAATTAAAGATTGGGACGTACATTGTTTCTTCATGCAAACATTAACAAACTACCCTTACAGCTAGTGTGGAATGAACTGTGTAGAAATCTGAATTCAAATTAGCAGATGAATTTTATACCAAGAGCTCCAAGAAAGGAGGAAAAGTTATGATTCTCAGATGTCATGTTTAAATCTGCATTTAGCAGTATGTTAAGATGCACAAGTTACTGTAAACATTAAACAAATCTGAAAATTTTTTCTCAATTATGGAATCTTGAATTTTCCTTTCTATAAAAATGTATGAAAAAAATTTATCAGTGATTTTTTTTAGTTACTGAAGGACCATAAATTTCAGCTGAGAGTGCACCATAAATGATAAAGCCTAACATTCTGATTAGGAAAGCAGCAAAAGTGCTTAAGGCCAGTCTCAAGTTTTTGTAGTTCTCTTCCTCCATAGCCAGTTCTTACTCCCTTCTCCCAAGGTTTCCTGTCCTCTCATTTTACACCTTCCTTCCATCCCCCATGCTGATCATACCTCACTCACAGTAAAGCATACAGAGTTAAGAATTGATTGAAAGTACCATTTCTCAAGAATATTTGTGTTTCTACAAGTACTAAAGCCTTAAGCTAAAGGAATAAAGCTCTGAATATGTTCTGATACATCTAAAGTAACTTCTTATAAGGGCTTCTAGGCCTCTTTTGTCCCTGAAATGATATTGTTTGAACTGTCTTACATGTAAGACTAGCCTTATTATTATTATCTTAAATTCCAAATTATGAGAGTAAAGCTCTAAATATTGTATAAAACCTCCACACTCCTACATTTCTAATTCAAAGAATGAATGTGATAAGTTCAGTTCTTCTTGCCTCCTCTCAATAAAATATACTGTTTTAGGAAGAACAGTTTTTCCATATGTCAAAGCTACTATGTTGAATGTAATGTTTTAATAAACAAAAATAGCATATGAAGTCCCCAATAAGTGTAGCTTCTTCATGTAAATAGTGTATAAAACTTCTTTGGCACAACTGATCATGTTTTCCTCATATTACTTACTATAGAAAATATACTTCCTATGATTTTCTCTTTCAATGTGGTGGAATTTTTAGGGAAAAAATGTAGAGTTGTTCCAAATAGTGCAAAAAGATTTAAAATACAGCTCAGAGTTGTGGTTTTGTTGTGTTGTTGTTTTTTTTTTTTAAGAAAATCTTTCATCTGCAGAAGTACAGGGATTTTTATATTAGCATCAGTTTCTAAATGAGATTATGGCATGATTAGTGCTAGAACCTGCAAAACATAAATGACACAATTCATTGTGCATATAAGGGAAGATAAAATAGTACTATGTGTCAGATATTAAGTTTGGTGATTACCTTTCTGATTCTTAAAAAGTTCTCAGATCCTTAATTGAATTTGAAATCTTTTCTGATAAAATATTTTTTTAAACTTCTGGTCTACACTTTTAAAAGTTTCCAACTTTTGATGCATATTTGATCAATTTTTAAATTGATAACCTTTTAAGAAAATCTTGGTAAAACAAAAATATGAAATTTATTCATTTTACCTAAATGGTCTCAAATACTGCAAAATATTTTCTCTAGAACCCTAACTTAATTACCACCTAAAGGTACATTCCTACAAAATTTATAAAACAGTAAGTGGAATGTTAAGTTGACATTAAATGATAACTGTTAAAGAAAAACTGAATAAATCATTGAGAAACTGTAGCCAAGAACCATCTCACATTAAAAACAAGGTATCTGAATGCTAGAGCCTAAACAAAAAATAATGAAAAATTAAATTTTCATTCTAGAAAACTTAATCATTGAAAAAAACCAAAAGAAAATGCATAACAAGTCTCTGTAATAAAATAGCAAGCCTACTCTCTAGGAACTATGATGTTTAAATATATGAAATTCAACTGAATAAATATGCAACATACAGTGTGCAATGGACTAATAATTTAGAGAATCTTTGAAAGTTTTTTTAAGCCTATTCATTTTTAAACATCCCAGTGACAAATATAAGAATAAAAAAAAAATGGCAGGATTTTTTTTTTTTTACACAAGTTTACATGGAGTAATTTGAATTCTCTAATATGAGCAATAGAACTCCAGACATGTGCCAGAACAATATAAAATTCCCAGGGCTTTCCCAGCAGTCCAATGTGTGTAAAGAGAACCTATGGAACATAAAACCTTTTGACTTTTACATAAGAATTTTCAGGATGGAGTTAGACCCGGACTTGTCATCTCTGTTGTAGGACTTGCAAGGTAGTCATTAGATTTTAGACTTGTTAGAGATTTGTAACTTGCCACTGATGTTAGAGACCCACAGAGACCAAGTAATGAAGGAGTATCTTCTTTACCTAAAAATTAGGATAAAAAAAAATAATGAACTGCCCTTGAAGAATGATACCCTTAAAAACTTCCAAACTTTAAAAAATAGTGCAAACACATCTAACTGTAAAATCAAAGACCTATGTATCAACATGTCTGATCTATCAGTAGTTTCAATGTCACCCTTAAAATAAAAAATAGAGAGGATTATTTGTGCTTCATCTTACCCCCATATCAATAATGGCGTATATCAAAAAGACAGGACTCACAAATATTGATGAGGATGTGGAGAAAAAGGAATACTCATCCACTGTTATTAGTAATGTAATTTGGTGCACCCTCTAGGGAAAACAGTATGGAGATTCCTTAAAAATTAAAATGGAAAAACCATATGATTCAGCAATACCAGTCTAGGTATTTATCTGAAGAATGCAATACAAAAAGATTTATACTATATTCACAGTAGCAATATTCACAATAGCCAAATCAGGGAACCAACATAAATGCCCAGTGATAAATGCACAAAGAAATTATGGAGCATGTACTCAATGGACTACTACTCAGCTATTTACAAAGATGAAATGTTACCTTTTGGGACAAAATGGATGGAGCTTGAGATGATTAGACTAAGTAAAAACAGTCAAAAGGTGAAAGTCAAAAATGCTGGATGGTTTCATTTATATTGGAACACAACCAAAGCAAAGCAGCTGTCAGAACACTGGTTACCTTGGGATTATGGGATGGGGGAGAGATATGGGAGTCACAGTGATAGAATAGTGGCACAAGAGATTTGGTAGGGGGAGAATGAGGTAAGTACACTTACGAACGGGTAATTTATACTCCCAAAATTATTCAGATATGTAAATGAGTGGTAGGTCAATAAAACTGGAGAGAAAGGACAAGTTAAGAGTAAGAAACGAAACCCAAAAGCAAACTAATCCAATTAGAGAACTGGTAAATAATATCAGAAGATACATCACCAGTGGATATAGATCTATAGAGGATATATAGCTCATGAAAAGATGTTGAATATCATTTGCCATCAGAGAAGTGCAAATTAAAACCACAAAGAAATTATTGTATCTCTACCATAATGGTTAAAATAAAAATGGTTACAACATAAAATATATTTTCATTCAAATCTATTTTTCATAAGACACATTATAATTTAATATTTACTTCTGATATAATTTTGGTCTTTCTTCTATTTCTGATTTTAATCATCTGTGAGTTACTTTCTTCCTGTTTCTTGAACATTTCTGGTTGATTTTTGATTTTTCATTTAAAATATTTGTATCATATCTCTAAATGCCTGTTTGAAAACATTTAATAAAATGTGCTTGTATTATTTTTTTTTCCCATTTCACTATTGTTTTTTCCAGAAGAGAGATTTTGAAAATCATTGGCTGATTTTTTTTCTGAAATATGATTTTTTTTGAAATTGTAATTTTGTGTTCACTGAGATTTTCTGTGAGAGGAATAGCTGATTTGTACGTGTTATGAAATTTTTTATTCACGAGAACCTACATTTCAGTGTATTGAAGTATAGTTTCATTACTATTATGACACTAGTGAGTGGAAAGGATGTGTCTTTCATTTTAAAAACATTTTCTATTTTACTATATTCCTTTTTGTTGTTGGGTTTCAATTGGTGATATTTTTTGACTAAAAATTTTTTTTGGTCATTTAATTAAAGTATTGCGGTATGGAAATTACATTAGTGATATTTAGTCTGTTATTTAACTTTGAATTCTTGTTTTCTTTCTTTTTTTTAAGATTTTATTTATTTATGCAAGAACTGGGGTACATGCCAGATGTGTGGGAGGGTGAGAGGATTCACCAGAGACAGAGCAGGGAACAGAACAGACAGGCTGACAAATACACTGCTGAGGGGAGCAGAGGGCGAGACAGGAGAGGTCTGCTGCGCCACGTGGGTAGCTCCCTGGCCAGCTGGGATCAAACCCGCACTGCAGAGGCTGTGGACAGCTTCACAGTGCTGTGCTCAACTGTCTACACCACCAAGAGGCCCTAACTTTGAGTTCTTAAAGCCAATATTTTCTTTTCGTTTTTTTTTTTTTTTTTACATATATAGAGACTTTGTGAGAAACTTACAATGACACATCATTATCATCTCGTATCCTCAGTTACATTAATTTACTCATAGTGTTCTACATTCTATTAACTGGACAAATTTGTAGATGTATCCACAATTTAGTGTCATACAGTTTTTTTACTGCCCTAAAAATTCTCTGTGCTTTACCTATTTATCCTTTCCTCCTCCTCTATGAATTGGTTTTTATAGTGTAAAAATATTGCTCATCTTGACCTATTGCTATTAAAATATCTGCAATTAAAAACTTTATTAAAATCACTTATAATGTCTTTTATAATGTCATTTATAATTGTCATTTATAAATGACAATATAAAGACATTTATAATGTCTTTTACATAAGAGTCATCACTAAAAAAATGCATTCACAGATTGGATTAGTTTTTAAAATCTACATATTCTAAATTATATGACAGTAAATCTAGTTTATTCTCTTGGAATAAAATTAGTGCCACTAAGAATTTTTAGTATGCTGTTTATTACTCACATCACCAAAAGGATTCATTTGTAGTCAACATTCACTAAACTATGAAAATAGACTAAAACCCTTTTAGCAACCATCTTAAAAGGAACAATATTCAGCATAAGGCAATTTTTCCATTGTTTTAGACTTCTGGTTAAATTTTTACTTTATCTTACCCATATCCCACTCTGTACATTTTATGACATTTGTTCACTGGAAAACAAGTGGTGAAAAATATACACAAGAATCACAATATATGCAATATGAGAGAATGCCTGGGATGGGATGGATATGAAGATAGAAGTGATTAGTTAAGGTAAGACAGTCAAGGAAAACATCTTTAAGGAGATAATCTCTGAACAGAGACCTGATAAAGAGGCTGCTATGCAAAGACCTTCAGAAAGAAGTTTAAGGGCAGTGGGAAAAACAAGTGCCAAGATAGCTGAAGAAAAAAACAGCCTTAAAGAACATGTCAGTTTGTTGAAGTGTATAGAACAAGCAAAAAAGAACGGTATAAAATGAAGCAGAAGCTGTCAAAGTTAGATCATGTGGGAGGTCATAAATGGTTAGGGTTCTATTGTAATTTTCATTGAGAACAACTGGAGAATTTTAAACAGATATATGATACTTTCTGATTTTTGGTTTTAAAGATTACTGATTATTGAACAGAGAATAGCAAGTGAGGGAACAAGAAAGAAATGAAAGGCCAATTATAAAGCTATTACAGTATTCCATTCAAGAGGCTTATTCCAGGTGCTTTAGTCTAGGGTTGTAGTGATAGGGAAACTGATGTGAATACATATAACATGTTTTGTATGGGGAAATGACAGGATTTACAATAAACTGACTTATTTAAGGGGCAAGAGTAGAATCTAGGGAATGCCTATAGTAATGCCATTTTTTTTGCAATGGAGAACAAGGGAAAAAGCTGGAGGCCTAGAGGAATGCAGGTTCCACTGATGTTAGGAACAGTTGTCTCCCTTGCGCTCACACACACTAGCAGAGGAAGAACAGAGGAGGAGAGATAAGGCATGTGAGCACCAGATTATATAAGTACCACCTGTACAATATGAAGTGCTAGAGTCACAGCTAATAGCCTATGCTGTGGAGAGGAAAGACGAGAACTTGGAACCAACTAAGCTACTATAGTTTAAAATGAATACGCTGAAAGTTAAAAATTGAATTGTCATCATTTAATTGAAAGTGACCTGGAAAGAACTGGAGCATGCAAACCAATGGAAAGAGAGCTCGATAGAACACAGCTGAAATGGTAATGGAGATAAATAAAAGTCCAAATATTTATTCCCCAAGTTTTTCAGAGTACTCATAAACCAGGTACAAAGGGATTCAAGAATAAGGAAGTGGTCAGTTGTATCAAAAACAGTTGAAAAGTTCAGTATGAAGAAGACAGAGAACTTAGTTCAGCATTATAGCAGTGATTGATAAAAGTCATTTTAGGAAATGGTAGAGACACAAGAGGCAAATCAGAGTGGTTTAAAAAAAGTACTAGAAATGAGGAAATGAAGGTAACAATTACAGGTCATCTTTTGAGAAGGTTATCCATAAACTGTGGGATCCCCAGCTCCCCTGTTCTTGGCTATATTGCCTTGGTACCCAGAGTTCCTTCTTGTCAGCTAGGTGTAGGGTCAGGCAGGGGGCCTCTCACCAAAGGCAAAAGTCCAGGTATGAGATACCTTCTGGGAAACCATTATCTGCTGAAAACAGTAGGCAGATAATAGAGATAATATGCTTTGACCAGCAGGAACAATGAAGGCCCCCCAACCCCTGCAACAGCCCTGGTCACTCCACCCTGGTATACATCCCCAATAACTGCTTCCCCCAGACATGTACGCTCCCTACTTACTTGCCCCACCTTTGTACTGGATGTTAATAAATATGAGGCTGTCTTTGTATGGGTGTAGCCCTCTAGGCTTCTCATTACTCCACATGGACTTTGAGTAATCTTTCCCTCATCTCATGCTGCTTCCTACATGCCTCCCCCCATGCGACAAGGTGACAAACACGAGAGAAAAAAACACAAGCAGATCATTCTAAATCATAATTGTAGCTTAAATGCTATAGCATGCTTCACAATATCACTATTAGTCTTCTGTAACTCTCTGCAACCAAGTATAGTGCAGAAAAAAATATTTAAACAGATCTTTTTCTTACCTTCACTGATTAAATTTAATGTGTCCTGTTTTCCATCTCCTTCTTGTGATTGACCTGGATCCAGTGAAGTCTGAGAAAGGCTAACTTCAGCTGATAACTGGTCAAGACTTTGATAACTTTTTCTGTAAGACAAGGATGAAGTATTACTTGAAGCTGTTCTCACATAAAAAAATTCTAAAAATAATTTTTAAATGGTCTTCTTCAATTTATTGAATTTTTTATTGATGTCTCCCCTAATTATGGTTGCAATATGATTTCCACTTTACTTTTCCCTCCATCTTCTTTGAAGTCTTCAGTCTACCAAAAAAGGAAAAGAAAATAATACTTGTCAAAAAATTAAAATCCTTACAATTTTTGATTATCCAGTAGGTTAAGAAAAGGGAACTTCTGGATATTATCAACTGTCAAGTGAGCAGAAAATCTACATATTACTCTTAATGAAGAAACAAAACTGACATAACGATGACCTAGTGTTTCCTAAGTACTTCAAAATTCTTCATTGCCTTGATATGGGTGATTATTACATAACAATAAAAAATTGTTACTGTAAGTCCTATAATTTAGAAGTTTAAAAAATGTGTAATAAAATATCTGTTTGTGTAAAAACACTGAAGATAATTAACCACCTTCCCTTATCTGTTTGCTATTGTGAGCACAATTCTTATTAAATTAACTAGTAATGAATTACAATAGAGGAAAAGTTTCATCATAAGTGAAAAGAAGTTAATGAAGATTTATTATTAAACTTTCCTCATATTGTTTTTTCAGGATAAAACCAACTCAAGAGATATATTCAGTTTTGTTGTTACTGACATTTCAAGTAAGAACATAACTCATTATTATTTTCAAATATAAATGAATGTGTTTCTCAGGTTCAGCATCTATTTTTCAGAGTAGCCAAACTATTTGAAATTCTAGAAATGTCATATATTCTATGATGTTATAGGAAAACATATAATTTTAATGCTAGAAATGTATCAAAGGTATGTATATTAAATATAGGGGGAAATACCAAACAATTACCTATTTGTTATTTCCTCTAGGAAATGAAGAATGTGGTGATGGGATAACTTTATTAGCATACAATGCAAGCAGTTTTCTTACTTTATAATATGATGACTTCAAATTTTGAGAAGATAAAAGTTCTGAATTATATTTTGAAGTAGTAAGGAATTCTATTATAGAATAATTGTGGTAATTACAATAACATATATTTGAGTTGTACATAATACCAATTATTTATACAGCACTCACCAAATGTTAGGCACTATTTACACACAGCAACTTATTTAAATTTTCATAATTACCCTAAGAGGTTGGAATTATTACCACCCCATTTTATAGCAGAGGGTACAAACACAGAAAGATGAGATTTGAAGCTGCCAGCTAGGCTCTAATTCTATTCTGTCCTTAATTTTAACTACTATGCTACCTCCTTTCATATAGGAAGAAACAATTCAGCTTATTTTATTAGAAACCCTATTTTTAAAATTTGTTTTTATTTATTTATGCATACAAGAACTGGAATACAGGCAGGGATGTGGATGGAGAGTGAGAAAATTCTCCGGAGACAGAGTGGGGAACAGAACAGGTGGATCTACTGAAATATACTGCTGAGGGGAGCAGTGGTCAAGACAGAAGAGGTCTGCTGTGCCATGTGGGTTAGCTCCCAGGCCAGGGATCAAACTCTTACTACAGTGGCTGCCAATATCTTGATAGCACCGTGTCTTTAATCCCTGTGCCACCAGGGAGGCTCTGAATCTAATAAAGTTATAAACACACTTCTTTTTCAAATTATTTTTCTGTGCCTATAAGTAAAAAAAAATGTTTGCATACAGCATCTCTTTTGCCTCTTAAACTGAATGGGATCAAATGATTTTCTGACATTAATTTTTCCTCACAGAAAACTTAGTTAATATATTAAAATATTAAGAATTACATGTAGAAATATTACATATAATGAAAACAAGAAACAAAATTTAATTCACTTGAATATTTTAAGTAAGGACTGAATTTCACAACACATATTTAAAGTAATCTCAAGGACTATCACCCACTTGAAAGAGGAACACCTATAAAAACAGCAACACAAAATGAGCTTTCTGCTGGACTTACTGTAGTTCCTTTTAGAGTATCACACTTCCAAAGTGATTCTGGAAGCTTTCCACCCTTTAATTTTGTCACAGTGAACTATCCTTGAGTTCATAGTCTCTAACTGAACCAAACGCCAATGAATACAGAAACAGAATTTGGTAGACAATAATGTTCTGAAGCAATAACAAAAGTTTCAAGTCAAAACAAACCACCTAATTCGTAAGATATTAAGAACAGCATCTTTTTTGCATGAAAATGACTGAACACCCAACATCTGGGAGGAAATCTAGTTCAACCACTTTCAGTAATTAAAAATGGTTTGGTTTCCACATTCTGACTTTATTTCCAAAGTGACTGGCAGCTACTACGTCTGACAAATATGTTGTTGTTATGAAGTAAACTGTCTATGGGAATTCTGTCTTAAAAAGATCACTACTAAGTTCTATCTTAGAATTCTAGACTCATAAACATCATACTTTAAGACTTATATGTAACATACCAGAAACATCAATATAAACAATAATCTGTAACTACAGTTAACCCTTGAATAAAAGGGTATGGGTGTCAGTGGCACTGACCTCCTTCAGTCTAGAATCTATAACTTTTGACTCCCCAAAACTTAACCCTAGTTGGTCTGCAGTATTTCCAGGGAATTGGTGTCAGCACACACAACCTTGCCCTGCCCCCACCTCTATTCAGACAAACTAATGCAAATCCCCAGATGCTCAAGTTCCATAGAGTTGGCTGTATGGGGTGTCAGTTGGACGTATCTGTGGTTGAATAATCCAGAGACAAAAAAATCTGCATATAAGTAGACCTGCACAGTTCAAATCCATGCTGTTCAAGGGCTAGCTGTACTTCTCAGAATAAAATTTTTAAAACTGCAGTTTACTTAAAGTAACCCAACATAGGGAGAGTCTTGTATTACGACTATATAAAAGGTTATTATTTATATCATTATTCAATATAATTTTAACTTGTAGGAATTATGTCTTATGTCACAAACATTTCGGACATAACAAAATCCAATATATTCAACATCTAATGACTTAAGTATTATTAAGTCACTCAAATGCAAATTTCTATACACAGAATTAGATGCCAAATAAAGGCAAGGTAAAAGGAAATTGAGCAACAGGCTGAATTCACCTATCCATAAGTTTTTCTATTATATTATACTTCATATCATTGATCAGAAGTAATAATGTACATAATCTACATTTTTAAGCTTGAGGTTTAATAATAAATGTTTTGAGGTTAATAATAATTTACATTATCTGGTAGTCATTGAGCAACAGAGTGTGATGCACAGGAGCCATCCACATGTAAATAAAAACAAATATATGTACACTGTATACACAGAGGCAAATAAATGTGCATAAAAACATATATGCTATTCTTTTTATTATGATTTGTTTTTCATAGTAATATGCTTAAGGAACAAAATTAGCATTTGTCATAGCAGGATAAACAATCTGTTACAATTAATAGAAGGATGCAAGGGAGCCTGAAAAGGAGATATATATATATGAGTTAGGTTAATGCAAAACCTACAAGATATAAAAGGTTTTACAGGCTCAGTTCTTTAGGGACTCATATTTCAAAAATAGTGGAAAGACACACATAGAAAGGAGAAATTCTAATGCATCTGAAGTGATTATATAGCAATCCACCAAAAATTAAGAAAAATTAGTTTACAGAGATCATGAAGGGCATATAAAAGATCCTAATTCTCAATAATTTTGTGAATGATAACCAAATTAGGGACAATGATAAACATGGAAGATTATATATGCTTAAGTAGAAAATATGGGCACCATGACAATAAATCCAAAGTTTTGGGATGAGAATGAGCAGATTAGGCAATAACGTAATAAAACTACATAAGAGATAATCTAACATGATGATATAATTGGTATCTAATAATTGATCACTGTTACATGACCGAGACTTTACAAATAAAGAAACCGAAATAGAACTTCTTGGAAATAAAAAATAATCGTTTATGTGTGTGTTAAACAAATGTGTTTTATATGCTTATTTGTTCTTGAATTTTTATAGTTAGTCTGTAATGCTTTAAAAATTTTTAACATGATATTCCTATGTTTGAAATGAAGATATAATATTCAGCATAACTAATCTGCCAGGTAGAAATAATTATAAAATAAACTGGAAATTATGTTATTAAAGTTTTATAAACAGCATAGTAAGTGGATAGAAATTTAAGACATTTTACCATGAAAGGGATCTTTCTGTAAGTAGGTAACAATATAGCTAAGTTATCCAATGGCTCATTGTAAGAAATGTCAACAAGACCAAGAAATTCATTAAATAAAATAACAAATTCTCTCTTCTCAAAGCTGATTAGATGAATGAGGTTACAGAGTTCCTAGGGAAATAGCTATAGATAGCCCATATTCTTAGCAGGAAATTATAGTAAAATGACTAATTATAGTTTCATTTTCTTTCTCCAAATTATCAAGAGAGCTAAATGGAGTAAATGAGTTAAGAACTATAAAATTTGAATCCATGCTAAACAAACTAACAAACAATTTCATTGTTTTCTTTGCTGCTATTATTAATACTTTGTTTTTTTTTTAAAAAAAAAAAAAGCAGTGATTATTATGACATATAATGAAAGCTAGAAATAAAACTTCCACTTAGACTCCTCATTGGCTCTTCAATAGGTAGCTTTGTAGGCAGGCAAGGATACATGTCTGTCTTTTGGCTAAAATATTTTACCTCCCACTATTTAAACTGATAATGTGTGTACGGCCATTAAAAGGCAGAGTTTTTAGTCTTTCTTGCATCAGGATTTAATGCTGTATTTTTGCCGTTAAAAAAAGCAGGAACACCTCGTGTGTGTGTGTGTGTGTGTGTATGTGTGTGTGTGTTTATATCTATATGTGTGTTGTGTATGTATATATGGCATATATATAGCCAAAACAAGTGTACCAAGTATTGTTATAAACTCAGTTTTTACTCAAATTAGAAATGCAAATAAAACAATACTCTTCTATTAAATATGCCACAGAAAGATAAAACTATATAGCACCGTAAGATAATACACCCTATTCATAATTTTCATAAGTGTATATAAAGTAACTATCTTACAATCCATGAAAGATTCAGTCAATACCCGGTATCATACCAAGCAGCATGGTTTACATGTTGAACCAAGTTCTATTGATAATCCGCTCACTTTTCCCCAATTATCTCTCTCAATCAGTGAAACAAAATAATTCAAGTCCCTAGAAAATTTTTAATAAGAAAAGGCCAAATTTATTTGAATTCTACTTTTCATTAAAAATAATAAAAATAAAAAATAGCAGGTAGAAATTGTGTTTGTGCTAAAGCATTCCTTATAGAACTATCTGGCTATTAGTTACCCAGAGAAAAATATCCTAAGAAGTACAGATGAAGTGTGTAGCTCTACCAGTGGAATTTAAAAACAAGGTCCTAAGATAAAAGAGGGACGGCAAGAAGAGAGGAGAGGAAGGAGAAAAGAGCAAGGGAAGAGAGAAAATAAGGAGATGGAGAGACAAAAGGGAAAATCAGAAAATTAGCTGCAGACAGACAATATTGAAATAAAAAATTATCAAAATGGGAAAGTCACTAAAAGCAAAAAAGCTAATTTATAAGGTCCAAAATGAAGATTATCTAAAGGCAGATGATTTAAGATTTTGTGGCTCTCTCAACATTAGGCCACTATGACTAAATGAAACAGCCCTGAACTGGGACAAAGAAATGGGAAAAATAGCTTTTGACCTACAGGTAGTGTGATTATAAATTTTTATAGCCTCCAAAAAGTAGTTCAGTGATAATTAACAAAATTCTTTCAGACCCACCAAAAACAAGTAATAAATATCTTTTTTCAGATGCATCTGTAACATTTTCATGTAATGGAATTTAGTTTTTAACTAGCAGGAAATTTAATCCTAAGGCAAATACAAAAACCAAAGTTAGAATTCCAAAACAGATAGCTTATTAACTATGTGCTCATAGACTTAACTGAAGGACTGGCTGAAGATTAACTAAAGAATTAGGTATCTGCTATAAAACTGCCTGATAATATCTTAGATATTTTACTTCCCCAGGATGCCTTGGCTTTAAAACAAAACATATTCAATGCCTTAATCTAACTTAATTAAATCAATGTAGTTTTAAATCCTATTTTGCGCTAAGTCAAAAATGAATTTAAAAATAAAAGAATAACTCAGAAACCAAAGTGGATAGTCCTATTTTTTGGTACAACTAAATTTGTAATTAGTTGGAAAAAAAAGTGTTACACTTACTCATACCACTGTTTATTGTGTTTTCGGTAAAGCAACGTATCCAAGGCAACAGCATTGACATCCAGAGCTCCTGGGGAAGGCCACTGGTTGGTGAGGTGGGCAGTTAACTCTTGTCTTGATCTTAAATCATTATTCTTTAGCACAGTCCTGTGAATATTAAGATGGTGAGTGCTTTTGTCTTCACTGTTCTGTAATGGCAGAGGAACCTAATGGTATCAATTTAGGTCCCCAAAATTCATCTTTTTAAAGTGGTATGTTAACAGATTGTGGACAGAACTACAATAAGATTGGTTGGTGATATAACTGTTTTGTCTCCTGCAATATGTGTTGTTCATTCTTTCTCTGCTGGCTACAACAATCACTACTTAGGAAATCCAGACTTTCTATCTTTTAAAACAAAACTACTAATAAAGGAGTAAACTTACTACTGAAGGAGTAAAGAATTCAAGCTGTATTTTACATTAACTAGAAAACAACGGTAATATCGTAAAGCTACAGGCTATTAGATGCTAAAATATGAAGTTAGTGATTTTCTAGCTTCAAATTTCACAATTAAATTTAACTCAGTAAAAAAAAAAAAAAGACAAATGAATAAAAAAAACTGAATGCAGTAAAAAATACGTAAGGTTTCCATAGTTGTTTTTGATGGAAATGACTACTACTAAGTATTCTTAAAATAATTAAATCAACGACAGCTGCATCAAACAGTATACTTTATTGGAAATATTTCAACTACAGAATGAAGTCATTAGGCCAACTCATGGTTTATTGTCATTTTTGTAGAGCTATTACTCATAACTAGGTTTTTGCCAAAATTTCAGCTTCATTAACCACCTGCTCATTGTCACAAGACTAATTCAACATTTGAATGTGGGTGTTTAAAGAAAATTTAAAAGCATAATTCAGTTTGCAAGTGTCTTATTCTACCTCTAAAAGGCTCTAAATTATCACCTAAATATCCTGTACCCTCAGAGAGGAGTGCATGGCTTTAGCATACCAAGCTTCTGAGTCATCGGCTAAGATGCAGAGAAAATGAGCTTGCCACTAACTTTTGGAGACAATAATTCTGTTATGACAGAGTCAGCAGTGTCACTGGCTAGATAATCAGGTGCACATCACCTTTGGCCCTGATTCTAATGGGATAACCCCATTTATGTCTCAAAGAGGCTCATATTATTATTTCTAATTTTACAGGTTATCTGTGTACATTTAAAAAGACTTGCTCCACTGTGTCCACAAAGAAAAATTATTTGATGCAAACACTAAATTTCCTCTAATGATTTAAATACTATTGGTGAAACAGGGAAGAAGTGAGAATGTAGCCCATCCATCAAGGTAAACTAGTTACAACAATTTCATTTCACTGGAAAAGGAATGAAAAAATTTAAATGGACTTTGAAGATACTTTTTTTAATGAAAACAGTAAAGAGTAACCAAAACATGTTAAGATTAACCAAAAACATCATGTAAAGCAGAAACAGGGATTACTTGCCAGAGAATCTATCATAATAAACTGCCATTATTTTGGGTTTTCTTGAAAGATTTTTCTTTCACATGGTCCCTCTCTCTAGGGTCTCTAGTGAGTGTCACTGGAAAACTCAACTTCAATGCCATAATTGGTTTATAGGAAATATCTAGAGCAGAATGAAAAAAGGTAAATGTGAGCCTGTGAGGTAGAACTCAGGTAATGACAAATAATTGAACATACTCCAATTTAGAGGATAGTCATTCTGAAAGGTAAAAAAAGCTTTATACCCCGTAACATTGAGAAAGAAACTAAAGTTACTCAAACATTTTTTTGCACACTATCTATGTCAGTGGAGAATTTTCACATAGTGACAAATTAAGTATTGTCTTTAGACATTGGTACTAAGAAATCCTAGTAAAACTGTTTTCTGTGGGAAGTTTCCTGGTCCTCTGAAACAGAAGATAAGAGATTTCAGTGTATGGAGAGGCAGAGTTTTCACCCATGCTGCATGTGTTTGGAGCAGCATGGATGCTGCTTTTGAAAGGAATGTGGAGATGGTAATCTAGGCACTTGCCTTGCCACTCTGAAAAGGAGAGAAACCTCATGCAAGGCCCTTCTTTCACTACTCTAGCATACCACTGGGACAGACAAATGAAGTAAGTTGGGCTGAAAACCTCACCCCTGAATTCTGAATGTTGACTAGTGTCTATTTAGAGTTATAAATAAACAAAGCAATTTCTTCATTTCAGCAATGGGGTCCTGCTCAAAATGTACAAGCAAAGACATTACTGAAGTTCCTATTTCCTTGTCTTCTGGAGTAACTAAGTCTACCTGTTTCCTGGCCTGTTACTCATTTTTTTAAAATCAAGTCCATGAGTTGATACGGATTTACAAAATTCTGTTTGTATTTAAGAGTTGGCTGTGATTGTTTACAAAGAATGCTATTGCTTACCTTAGAACAAGCAAACTATACCTAATTAACTTCAAGACCTACTTAAAGGTAATTCAACTGATGTTAGCATAAAGAATAACATTTTTCTCATTTGACCTGCCTTAAAAATAGCTTACAATTACTAAGTTACTCAACAATTGATATTATTTCATAGGATAAAATCAGTGGCAATTAGAGATAAAAATATGTGATAGTCAGCATTTAATTTTAACCAAGATTGTAACTAATGCTAATGTTACTGAGTGAATTGAAAAATTGAGATTAATTATACTTGTCATTTATATCTGTGATACAAGTAAATTTAGCTTTCTTTCATTAAAGTAATAATTCTACATAAAGATACGTAAAGGAAATTTGTTTAATTTACTAAGAAAGTAGCCATAATATATCACAGTTGATTTTAAGGACTTTCTGTTGTATCTACTACTAAACTGCTAGTCAGCTTATTTCCCTTCTGATTCTCAACAGAAATTATTCAGGAATTTGAACACAAATAAAAATTTAATCTTTATTGAACTCTAGGTGTAACTGACAATTTAAAATTATGTGCATACTTAAATTGTACAACTTGATTTGATATATAAACATTGTGAAATAATCACCACACACAAGCTAATTACTTTTGTACCATCCTCGAATTACCCTTTTTTTTCCTATAAGAACACTTAAGAGCTTAGAATATACCCTCTTAGAAAATTTCAAGTGTTCAATACATTACTGTTAACTATAGTCACATTGTTGCACATGAGATCTCCAGAACTATTCATTTTCCATAACTGAATCATTGTACCCTTTTATCAAAATCTCACCATTTCTCCCTCTCCCCCACCCTGGTTACCACCATTCTACTCTCTGCTTCTATGAGTTTGACTATTTCAGTTTCCACATATAAGTGAGATTAAGTAGTATATATCTTTCTGCATCTGGTTTACTTCAGTGAGCATAATGTCCTCTAGGTTCAGCCATTTTTTAGCAAATGGTAGTATTTCCTTCTTTTTTATAGCTAAATAATAGCTGCTCTGTGTGCATATATGTTTGTGTGTATCTCACATTTCTTTACCCATTCATATGTCAATAGATATTGAGGTTGCTATTGTGAATAATGTTGCATATCTCTCTTCAAGATCTGTTGGCTACTTAGTTACTTAGCAGTGGGATTGCTGTTGGTCATCTTTATATCATCTTTGAAGAAATGTCTATTCAAGTTTGTTAGAATCTTTTAAATTGGGTTACTCATTTTTTGCTACTGAATTATATGAGTTCCTTATATATTTTGGATATTAACACCCTGTCAGATGTTGTAAATACATTTTTTTTCATTCTACAGTTTACTTTTCACTCTGCTGATTATTTTCGTTTGCTGTGCAGATCTTTTTAATTTGATGCAGTCCCATTCTTCTATTTTTCTTTTTGTTGCCTATACTTTTTTGTCATAGCCAAAAATTCATTGCCCAGGGCAATGGCAAGAAGCCATTTTCCTGTTATCTTCTGGTACTTTTACAGATTCAGATCATACATTTAAGTTTTTAATCCACTTTGAGTTGGTTTTTGTAAATGGTATGAAAATAGGTCCAATTAAATTTTTCTGCAGGTGGATATTCAGTTTTCACACCATTTACTGTAGAGACTATCTTCTCCCCATTGCGTGTTCTTGATATTCTTGTCAAAAGATCATTTTACTATAGATGCTTGGGTTTCTTTCTGGGCTATCTATTGTAAGGACTTATACCTATGTCAATGTCAGCATTATACTGTTTTGATTATTGCTGATTAATAATATTATTTTGAAATCAGGAAGTGTGATACCTTCAGCTTTGCTTTTCTTTCTCAAGATTGCTTTGGTGGCAGCACACCTCTCCTGTCTCAACCACCGCTCCTCTTAGCAGTGTATCTCAATAAATTCTCCTTTTCTGTTCTCTACTCTATTTCTGGTGAATTCTTTTACCTCTGTGCCTCTGGCCTACAACATGATAAAAAAGAAAAAGGATTGCTCTGGCTATTTGTTGTGTGTGTGTGTTCCATATGAAATTTAGAATTTTTTTTTCTATTTCTGTAAAAATTGCCATTGGGATTTCGGCATGGATTGTGTTGAATCTGTATCTCACTTTGGGTAGTCCAGATTTTAATAATATTTAACCTTCCAATCCATGAAAACAGGATGCTTTTCTATTTATCTGTATCTTTAATTTTCTTCATGTATATTTAAAAAATTTTCAGTGTATAAGTCTTTCACGTCTTTGGTTAAGTTTAGTCTAATATATCTTATTCTTCCTGTTGCTATTGTGAGTAGGACTATTTTTAAATTTCCTTCTCAGACAGCTTCTTGATTGTACACAGAAACATGATGAATTTTCTTTTGTATCTTGTTTTTTTATCTTGTAACTATGTTAAATTTATTAGTTCTAACAGTTTTTGTTGTTATTGCAGTTGTTGTCTTCATTAGCTTTATGTATTCAAGAGTTCCAATATTGAGTACATATATATTTATAATTATCGTAATTTCCTGTTGAATTGATCCTTTTTATCATAATAAATTTCTTTTTCTCTAAAAAGAAATTTCTTTTTCTCTAAATACTTTTAGGATTAAAATCTATTTTGTCTGATATAAATATAGATAGCCTGGTTTCTTTTGGTTATCATTTGTATGAAACATTTTTTTTTTTCATTCCTTCACTTTTAGTCCATAAGTGTGTCAAGTATGAGTGAGTCCCTTATCGGCAGCATACT